TTCGAACCTAGAACCTTTCTGATGCAAGGACAGTTCCCTGCCTCCTACACAGGCTGACTGTCATGCAAAGACTCATATTTAACGTTTTTCATTGGCTCGAAACAGCACGGGATAGTAATTTGATGATAAATTAAATGTTTTTTAGACATAAAAAAATTTTAATTTTAACTTGAAACTTGTACATTATGTTTTGTTTTAGCTCCTTGTATTTGTTAATAAAATAAAATAAAATTACGTTTATTTTTTTTATTTTTTTATTTTTTTTTTTTGAAATTGGAAAGGGAATTGGTAAATGAAGTCAAAATTTTGTTTTTTAAACTCAGGGACATATTTTAAGAAACTTGTCAGTGTTCCCAGAGTTATGACTACTTCATCAAGTTACGGAACTCAAGCATCAAGTTACGGAACTTAGCTAAACAAAACAAAATAAGCGCACCGGAAGTTAACGAAATTTATTTTTATCCTTTAAGGCACGCGTCTATATTACGTTCACTGCTGACCATGTCGCAAAACATTAATTGGAGCATTTTTTTTTCTGAGAGAAAAAAAAAAGAAGCATCGACATAGGTAAGCCGAGACTATTCCGGCCTACTTATGGCGTTAACCAGTTTTTTCGGTGTTTTCTTCACAAATATGAAAGTTTTGATCCGATTCGCTCGGAATCGGTGTTTCAAGGTCGTGGTATTCCTTCATCTCTGAATTCAAGATCAATGTCAAATACTCTGGCACAACAGGAGACATCCATTATAAATAGTTTTTATGACATTCCAAAAAAACACTGTTCTGTTTTTCTCTCTTTTCGAATCACTTTATTACGCATGCACCGTGCAATACATTCGAAATAAGCATCAGTAACGCGTGTAACAGTAATAAATGTAAAAATAAGAATTAAAAATTTTAAATAGGTGGAAAGCAACGATGCGATAAATACTGTTAAAGTATTGAGAAGTAGATAATAAATACAAATACGAATTTGTAATTATGTATATATACAGTCCCTGGCCGAATGATGAGACGCGCTATTAGATTCTGTGTATAATCTTAATGATCGGGTGTTACTCTATACAGCTTTATTCTTTTTACGCGGTCTGCGCGCGTTTAGGTTCGTGTTTAGGTTAGTTTAATGTCACCACAAAAATTTATATTGTTTTTTAAAAAAGAAAAAAAAATCTAGGACGAGGGGGGGCGTGGACTTTGAAATTATATTTATCTGAACGAGATTATTTAATTTAACCGATTTAAAATTTAAAACCGTTTACAAATCATTCACAGAAAAGTTATAGCTAAAATTTCATCTAGTTTTTGTATGGATTTTAATGAAGCTAACAAATACTAAACACTGAACAGCGATGGCTCAGGGGATAGAGCGTTCGCCTTCCAATGAGACGAACCGGGTTCCAATCCTAGTCGATACGAATTCAGCATCGGGCTTGCACCGACCACAGTGCTGACGTTAAATATCGTCAGTGGTAGATGGATCATGGGTAAAAAGTCCCCTTGCCCTCAGGCTAACCGTGGGAGGTTCTCGCGGTCTTCCTCTCCATGTAATGCGGGTTAGCTCCAACAAAAAGTCCTCCACGAAGGCACGTTTCTCCCACTACTTGATCCAGGAGTTCACTTGGCTTCTGGATTGGGTTCAAAATGACAAGGTTACGGAGTTGAATTTCAGTAGTCGTAAACCCGTAAAATTGGGTCGGCTGTGTAACGATGGTTATAAAATAAAATAAAATATTATGCACTAACAAAGGATAAAACAAAAAACAGTCTTCAGCAAAAAAATATAAATATATATATTCTTTTAATTTTCATTCATTCAGACCAATAAATTGTATTCATAAAGTCAATAAAACGAAACCAAAAAAAAATGAATGAGAAACTTGACTGGAATAAGTAAATATTTTTTTTTTTTACAAAGCTGTAATTATTTTTGTAAAAGTGTTAGTTTCGAATACATTAAAGCAGTAAAATCATTTCATATTATGGTAAAGAAATTTTCCATACTTCGGCATGTTTAGATTAAGATTTTCTAGATTAGATTAGATAAAAAATTTCCAATTACTTAAAAAATGTGGATTTTAAGAACGAAAAACTGAGCACTTTTACTGATCACCGTTCTTAAACAAGGATGTGAGAATGGAAAACGGAACGAATGATTAAAAATGTTTATCTTATTAAAACTAATCATTGAACACGGATTTTTCAACTTTTTTAAACAAAAAAAAAACGAAACATTGAAGCGTTGAAAGCTGATCACTCATTTCATGAAAAAAATCTTAATTTTTTTCCTCCTGACACGAAAATAGGTGTAAATTATGAAAGGGTGTAAAATTGTAAAACTGACTCTTTTGCTTAATATACCGACTTTTTAAAAAAAATTATGTTTTTTTAACTGCTTCCCTTAGCAATTTTTTTTTTAAAAATGAAAAAAATAACATATTTTTTCATTTTATTCATAAATACCAGGAACTAAAACAAAACATTATACACAAGTTCTAAGTTAAAAGTTTGATTTTTTGGTATTTAAAAAATATTTAATGTACCATCAGTTTACTATCCCAAATGATCTCAGGCAAATGAAAAAAGTAAAATGTAAGTCTTTTTATCTATTCACATCTTCATCATCTGAAAAATCATCTACATTTCTTTCACTTTCACTCGCGAAAGCCATTTCTTTTTACTCTTTTTTTTTTCAATGTAAATTCATCCACCATGTGAAAACAATTGTACAAAACACGCCTGCAGTGGCACACATAGGAAAACTCCCAAACAAATATGGGCAAACCTCCAATCACAGCCGATTATTATTATTTTTTGTTTCGCTTCCGGTTAAATAAAAACGTGATAAAACAAAGCGTATGGACGAATTCTGTTATGCGGGATCATAAATATTAGCAATATATACTCGGGATAATGAGGGAGGCGGTTAAAAAAGAAATTAGAAAAAGCGGTCTATGGTACAATAACCATGGTTGATTGCCATTAAAAAACGAATGAATTGCCAATAGATGAAAGGATGCTTCAAAAAAGTGATTTAAAACGGTCATCATAAAGAGCTTTGATTACTCTTTTTATGAGAGAAGTTAATAATTAATGGTGTTACATCATTAAATAATTATTTCTTCTACTTCAGCTGATGATTCTTGCAATGCGTAATCACTTTTCAAAGTCCTCAGGCATTTCATCACAATTTTCTGTAGTGACAAAGGAATGGAAGAAAGCTAAATTAAAATTGGCCATTAAGGAAGAGTGTTCAAATGGTGAATTTATTAGGAAATATTAAAAGTTTAAATATGAAATTAAACAAGTCATATAAAACCAATTCCTAACATAAAACCAAATAATTAAATATTTGAATGTGCGCAAAACGTTTTTTTGGTTCAAATAGAGCTATAAATTAGACATTATCACTGATGTTATTTTTAAAATCTGAGAGAAACTGAATCGCTTACAGTAAAATTTGAAACAATGACGAACCCATCAGAAAATTCCATTTTGTTCTTCGCTGTGGCGTAACTACCACTACAAATATTAAATACCAAATCACTGGTATATAAGGCATGATAATTTGAGGTACCTTTTGATAGATGACGGTTGACATAGTCGATAATTAAATCCCTCTTGCTGACATCGATTTTATGATCCACATTCAAACAGTTGATTTGCTTAAAAATATATTGCTCGAGGAAAGAAGATCAGGTGAAGTTTCCCGGTAATAAACAATGTAGAAAAGAAAATAAGCGAAATTCTATAAACAAAAAATGAAGAAAAAATGAGCGAATTGCTATAAATAAATAAAACAGCATAAATCAACTAGTGGTATCCGTTCATCGAAATCTATCACGCCCGGGTCACCAATGAAGGGATTTAATTTTCGACTATGTCAACCTTCATCTATTTTGAGGTACCTTTTAATGGATGACATAGTCGATAATTAAACCCCCACAATCCCTATTTAATGAATGAATTAACATTTCACGAAACTGTATTAACATCACCCACTACAAGTTTTAAAAAAATGTATTAGAACACGAGTGGAGGAATAAAAAAGTATTTTAGTAAGGATTTGGGGAGTGTTTGAACTAATTGAATAAAGTTTATGAAATGAAGGAGAAAAAAGTAGTGTTTTAGAATTGCACTTTTTATAATATTTGAAAACATAAAAACTGTATATGGTATAATGCGTTTCTCGAGAGAGCAACGGATTGTGAGTTCGATCCTGGGAACCTATTTATCAACCTGAAATTCCTCTTGTTGATAGTGATGTGGAAGTTCGTAGAGATTAACGAAAAGTGTGTGTGGTCAAAATGATGTGGCATTCCTACCATGGCTGTTTAAAGATAAAGCCCCCGTAAAATGGAATTATGTGCTTGTCTGAACACGTTGCGTTTAGAGTTAAAACACGAAAGTTTCAAGACCATTTTTACAGCTTCCCTGATTATCCCGTGTTCACTCGGGCATAGCAGAATGCGTCCATACATTTTGTTTTATCAATTTTTTTTTATTCGGCCTGAAGCGAAACAAAAAATAATATTTGTTTGGGAGTTGAGCTGTTTTGTACAATTGTACGGACGATGGGTGGACGAATTGACATAGAAAAAAAGAGTAACAAAAATGGCGAGCGAAAGTAACGAAAATGATTTTTCAGATGATGAATTTGTGAACATAAAGACTAATATTAATCAGTTATCATAAAGATTAACATAATTAGTCTTTGCATAAAAACTAACTTGTATGTTATGTTTTAGTTCCTTGTATTTATAAATGAAATGGAGAAAAAAAATTGCATTTTTTTTTCTTCAGAAAAATTGGTAATTAATCGATGGTAGATAGTTTTTGCAGTATTCATAGGCATCATAATGAGACAAATTATCTCCACTTTTATCGATTACTTGGAAGGATATTGCTTATCGAAAGAAAAGAACGTATTTGTGAAATGGGACTTTAATTACTGGATTCTTTTAATACACAACAAGTTCATCTTTTTATTTTTTCTTCCACAGGTGGCTCCTGTTTTTCTTTTTGCCAGTGGTCCAAAGTCTAACATATAGCAGTCGTCGCGTAGCTCCAGTTTGGACTGAGGGGCCCTCGGATCAGAGGGCCCCCACATTTCCTTTTGACACCAACATAGCTTTAAATTTACTCAATTTCGCTCAACAATTACTCGGTAAGTATCTATTCTGACCTCCCAACAACATTTATACAACTTAAATATGATAATTAATTTGATGTACTTTTAATGACAGGCACAAAAACGTATTTTTTCTGGAAAAAAAAACTTTTTTCTAAATATGGGAGAGGGGTAGCCAGCCGTAATTTGAAAAATGGGGTTCCAATAATTGGAGCAGGAGTGTGGTTGAAAATTTAGAACCTTTAACGTTAATTATATTTTTTTGCGTAGTTCGTAGTGTTTCAAAAGCTTTTTAAGAAATGTTGCACACAATTATAAAATTCTTTCACCTGAAGATAATTCCGTGCTTTTAGTTTTTAATAATTATTTAATACATATTTTTTCATTATTTCGTTTAATAATGGCCGTAAACATTTTAAATTGCAAGGCATTAATATTTTTACATCATTGAAAAAAAAAGTAATTCTAAATGCCAAAACACAAAACTTAATCTTCATCGATCATAAAGTTTCTAACTTTTCATATTTTAAAAAAGAAGTCGTTTATTTTAGATTTGATTTCTCGATCAGTTTCGTTCTAATTTCGTAATCTGCTACTTCAAAATTTTAGTAACTTAAAATGTTGCCTGTTCAAATTAGTAAGCATATTTAAGCTAAGGCCATTAGATTGAATCCTAGAATCATCGAACCACTAAGATTGAATCCTAGAACTATAAAGATCCGATCATTAGATCAAAAGTTATTGAGAGTGTTTACTTTTTAGTGGGACAATGTTTAATCTTGGGCGTGCTGGTTGCTTGCCGAAATAGTTTATTTACATGCTTTTTTTATCACAAGAAATGCTTACTTTAACTGACCTGCTTTTACGGACTGTAAAGATGAGACTCGAGGCATTTTTCTATGCATAAAGAGGTTGAACTACATCCATGAGTTGAATCAATCAATCAATAGTCGTAATTTTTTAGTTGTGGTTGGCAACCAGCTGTTGGCACGATTGCTATGGGAGGATACGTATTTCCGTCCCAATAGAAACATATTTCTATTGGTTCTGTAGAAACATATATTCAATGATTCATCATGGATGGATTACCAGTGGACGGGTAAGTGAAGTGACGTCAGCTTCTCAGTTGCTCTAGTTAGTATGCGTTTGGGTTAAAAAGAATTATTTTTCAGGGCTCACCATTGTAATTTAGCAGTTGCATGTTGTTGTTTGTTGATGTTCATAAGCATTTTAAACTTTGCACGTAAAAAAAAAATTTAAAAATTTTAATTACAAATGTAAATAAACATTTCGTCAAATTATTTAAGTTGAATTTAAAAGCAAAGAGTAAAAGGGTGAATTTTGTGCCGTTTATGAATGAAGTAAAACAATTTTTTAAAAAAATAATGCCAACATAAACAAATATACTATAGTTTCGATCGAAGAACCCATAGAAGGTTTTATCCTTACAGAACCGAAATTATAGCATATTTGTTCATTGTTGACATTATTTGCGCTTTTGTCACGTTGTCTCAAAAGGCATATTTAGACGATCCAAGTTCTTGGACAAAGATTGATTAATATTGATTTAAACTTGTTCTTCTTTGATCTTGGATCGTGTAAACGATCATCCAAGTACTTGGTCCAAGTCCTTGGACGATAGTAGACCATGTTCTACTTTCCATCCAAGTTTTTTCGCCCTTCACCAATCAGCTTCTTAAGTTTTGTGACGTCAACAAGCAGGCATTTTTGTTGTCTGTTTTCATGTATTTTAGTCCAAATAAATTAGGGTCTATTTGTGTTATTATGATTTTACTTGAATTTATTCAGTCATTTTAAAGCCATGTAAGTATGATTTTATAATGTTGAATATGGAAAAGTTTTTCTTCCGACCCATCAGTGAGATTCAAGAACTTGGTCGACGAATCATCCAATTTCTTGGAGAGAGAAATTCTCGGATTCAAGAACAGTGTAAACAGGCCTTTACTTTATTCTTTTTCGTATAAGCGTTTCTTCAGTATCCGAGTTGATGGATTGATTATTGTTGTTTTTTTCAGCTGCTCCTCGTGCCTGTTTTTACCAGGGCAACAGTTATTCGTGTGGCCTGAGCATAGGTTGCTGGTTCCAGGGTAAAAGATCGATGGACCTCTGCAGCGGAGGTGTTGTCTGGTCATGTTGCGTGCCAAAGAATGCAGAGCCTAACAAAAGGGCCGTCGTCGAGTCTGCAAGTGAGCCTTTTAGAACATTTCATTTTTTGTTTACATTCACCATTAATATGTTTTAAGTAATATTCTGCTTTAGAAATGTAAGACAAGACCTTGATAAACACGATTCGAGTGAGACTAAAAACAAGCTGAACCAAATCAAGAGTGGGTTGATATCAATTGACTGATCAATTGATATGCCACCCCGTATATGCACCAGANACGATATATAATATAAATTTGACGATATATTATATAAATATAGAATATTTATTATACCAAGCGTTACATTAGTTATAATAATGAGATCCAATTATGAGACGGACTGTAGTTTTTTAATAATTATGTGAGTATATAGGCAATACTTTTATATATGCATGTCATGGGTTTTTATTCGGGAGATTTTTTACATAGACTTCCTATTTGTATTTATTTTGAACCCATTGCATTACGATGTTCACCCATTGATACAGGAGCGTCAACATCCGAGTGAAAACAATACAGCTGTATCACCTGTATAATTATACTTTTACATAGAATCTTTATAGTGCGTCCAATAATATGGTCAGAGACTGTATATCTTACTATCACTCTTGTAGTATATTGTAACAGCTGCTTCGAAAATATAAACATTTAAAATCTGGAGTCATTCATTTGTGAAATTCCTATATAATATTTATAAAAGAGGGTTTATTTAATTATAAAATTTGATCTTTTTTATTCTATATATCCATATCTTGTTGATTCGACACACTCTTGACTTTATTTATGTTCTATGTGCATAACTCTTTGATATTTTTTTAAAAAAAAACAATTTTTTAATTGAAGCTTGTGGAAAAACATACATCAGGGATTCGAAAATAGTTGGAGGAGAAAACACAACATTTGGTCATCAGCCTTGGCATGTAAGTTATTATTTCGATAACTTTTATTTTGCGATTTTTAACTAAGAGTCATTTAACTGTCACAAATATTCTTAAAGATTTCGTTTTTATTTTATTAAAGATTTTATTTTAGAATTATGTTCAATGTAATTTTCAGTTCCACAGAGTTTTCGAACGTTATTGATCTATTTGAAAATGGAGACTTTTTTGGATGGGAAGTGTTGCCATAGCTCTGCTCAAAGCTCATTTCGATCGCCTATATTATCTTAAAATGTATTAAATTACATTATGAAATAAATCACAGACTTTTTAAAACAAATTATAACTCATTTCAAGAGAAAATTTTCATAAAATGAACATAATATCTACAAAATTAACTCAGACTCGAAGTTAAAAAGTTTTCAATTTTCGTGCAAAAACCACAGAAAAGTTGTCATTTTTTAAGATCCTTAAAAATTATTTGATTTTGTAGTTTTTCCTCATAGGATTCTCTCCAGTGTTTAAAAGAGTTGCTTTAAAAGTTGCTCTTTTTTTCAGTAATTTCTCTTTTTTATAAATTTGGTACAGACAGTGAAACTCGATATGAGATCATACGCATTTGTATTGCATATAACTATAGCTTATATATAAATATGCTTATTCTCTCAATGATCAAAAGCTTAGATTGACAAAAGATAGAGGGTATCGCCCTGAATAACTTTCGCTCTAAGGGTCGAATTTTCGCCTGCAAAGTGTCAATCTTAATGGTTCTGGGGGTGACCTCATATATGTGGTCAGTATTTATTTTAGTCATTATTTAGTGCTAACTATTAATTAAGTTACGTAATCGGAAAAATATATATATATATATATATATATATACGCATCGAAAAGAAGGTTATTCTTTTTACAGAACATCAATTTTTCTTATATTTTATATCATAAGAGGATACGAGCTCCAAGGAACCTACTCAATGATTTCGTTATTTCCAGATTTAAAATCTGTTTGGACGAAGCAGATTATTGCTTGAAAGCTGAAACGAGAAAAAATTTAAATATTATTTGTGAAAGTTTAATCCATTCATTTAACGATAGCCATATCAAGATTAAAGTTATGCGATGGAAGCCCCGTTTACTATTAGATTATGAATGCATTAAATCATATAGCTTGAATCATTTATTTTAAACAAATTTTTTAATAATTTTACCCAAATCATCATAGTTGGCCTGACAGCCCATTGTGAGCCAATGTTTTCCTCTGAAGATTTCTCCATGACCAATTCCGAATTCCAATTCTTTTCAAGAAAATCAGACTCCACTGAGTTAGCCTATCTCAAACGCGTCCTTCCCGTTTCTTGTTCCAGTGGGTCTAAAAAGCAGTATCTTTTAAGCAAATATGGGTGTAAAAATAAACGTCATCGAAGTATGCCTAAAGTATATCCTAAACTATATCTAGGATGAACTTGGGAATTAATAAATAAAAAATATAACTTTGGTTCCTTAAAAAAGTAAGAGAACTGTAGCATCAATATTATATCTAAGAAGTTATCCTTAACTTTGAAATTAAAATGTTTGAGACCAGCTATTTTGAGTTAAAGAAATTGAATATTTTATCTTTTAAGTTTTTGTACCACCATTTCAGTATCTTAAGGACCTTACGAACTCTGCTTAAAACGAGAGTATCGTATCAGATGTGTATAAGAAAAAGAAATCATAGAAGCTGTATTCGGTGATAAATGTAGACTATCGTCATTGAAGAAACATGTTATGCGACATTTTATTTCGAACATGAGTTTCAGAATGTATCGAAACAATTTGTAAATCATCTTTATCCAAAGTAAACCATGTAACCTAAATATTTGGCAGAATGAAGCCATTTTTTAAACTGCGAATCATACCAATGTGCAACATTTTATTTCAATATGTTATTCCTAAACATAACATATTTCAATGCTTTTAAAATGCCACTTAACATTCAACAATCCCTCAATTATGGAAAAAAGAAACATCGTAAATTATATAAAACCTTATGAGTTGCTACACAATCTACATTTTTTTCAAACACTTTTTTCTTTCTTTCTTTAAACTTTCTTGCCTGGAAGACTCGATCAATACTGTAAAAATGATTATCCCTAAGCTTTTGTATATAGTTATAATAAGTTATGTAAATTTGATTTTAACCGATTTATTCCAGACTTTAAGATCTTATCATTAAAACCGAAAATAACCCGGGCAATATCTTTATTTTTTTCTATTCGCGCATTGTACATGTCATTGAAATGAAATGCGTGCATTAAGAAGAGATAGTGATTATTGCCGAGTAGCGCAGTAATAATTATAATCCATTATGTTTCTCCAGGTCGGCGTGATAAAGAGGGCGCTGATGTCGCAGAAGATAGCATGTGGTGGAGCTCTCATCCACGAAAAATGGGTCATCACGGCAGCTCACTGTGTCTATAAGTCAGTATGATTGAGCTTTTATTTTCTCTTTATTATATTTATTCATTCAATAACTCCCCCAAGTCTTTTTATTAATGAACTGTGTGTTAGTAACAATTTAGTAAATGGGGACAGAAAAGTTTGTTTTTCCCCTCTGTGTGTAGGAAAAGAAAAAAAAAGATAAATGAATAAATTTGTTTTTTTTTTTTTAAGAGTGTTTTTCGAGGCTCTGTCATCTTTCATTTAAGCTGCGCTAATCTTTCTTAAAACAGTTTTTTTTCTTGTAGTTTTACATTAACCGTTTCCCAAACCAATTTTTTTGAAGAAAAAATTCAAAAAATCAACCTATTTCATTCATAAATACAAGGAACTAAAACAAAACCACAAGTTATAAGTGGACGTTTTAATTTTTTTTAATGTGTGTTAAGAAACATTTAATCTACCATCAGTTTATTATCCCGAGTTATCAAGGGGAAAAGGAAAAAAGTTAAATATTAGTTTTTTCTTATGCTCATAATCTAAAAAAATCATTTGCAATTCTTTCCATTTTTGTTACTCTTTTTTTCTACGTAAATTCATCCACCCATCGTGTATATACAATTGTACAAAACACGTCCCACTCATAGCTCAACTCCCAAAACAAATATTAGCAAACTTCCAATCACGGCAGATTATTATCATTTCTTGTTTTGCTTCAGGTCGAATAAAAAAATTGCTGAAACAAAACGTTTGGACGAATTATGACTGGTATTATTGACTCGGTATAATATATATTTTCAATCAATACACATACCCCAGTTAACTCGGAATAATCAGGGGAGCCGTTAATGAAAAAAAAATTATTAAATGTACTTTCACTTTCTACGTTCAAAAGGAACGAGTTTAAGAACAGAGAAGATATTTAAAAAAAAGAAGAAAAAAACATTTTAATAAACAATAAGAAACAGCAACAACTATTGCAGATTGTCGACGAGTGCGACGAGCACTTTGTACTAGCTTATAGCTCTGTATTTAGCGACAAATATTCCAAAAGAAAAAAACATTCTATTCATGTATCTAGCCTATTGCCACCTTTTTTTATATATATAAATGTTGCACTGTGATAAAATTAAACTCATGCGAACCTTACATTAGTCAATAACTAAATAAAGCAGTTAAAAAAAAAAATTGGAGGAAAATAAAATGATAAGATCTAAATTTTATCCTAATGGAACCGAAAACAAAACCTCTGGTAACAACTTTGTTAAATAGAAATTTTATACTGAAATGTCAGCGACTACTATTTTGTAATTGAATATGGAAGTAAAGTAATATATTCCAAATAAATTTTTATTTATACTAAATGAGATGAACTTTCGCTTGAAGGCAATGACGAGTTAACTCGACACAATTTGGAATAAAATATTTTGGATAACTCATCTTAACTATTTTCAATTTAATTGGGTATAATATGAAAAAAACACAACTACTTCGACTTCGAAAATTTTACTAGGAATAAAATTTACCTTTTAGTTTAATTAATAAACTGAGTTTTAAATACGTTTACTATAAATTCGTAAATTTAGATAAAATAACAAAATTATTATTTGAAGAGGAACTAGACTAATACAATTGCAACCTGGTGAGTAGTGACTTGTAACAACATACTTCGCTTAATTGATTTGTTGCTAGAAATCAGGTTCGCAGAAAATAATGTTTACTAGTTAAATTTAGTAGGAATAGCACTACCTGTGACGTAGGTTATAGTATACCCAATTGTAACAACAATCTGAGGATTGAGAAGAACTCTCTGCCATGCATCTTTCTCTCCAACCTGAAATTTTCACCAATTTATGAATAATATTTGTAAGAAATCATAACGCTATAATTTCTCTCTTGTATTGGTCTAGTTTTAAAACATATGCTGATGAAGGACCTTTTCCATTTTATCCAATGAAATTAGATGGGTGATCTTCATGAATTATCTATTATATATAATTCTCTTACGTGGCTCCCAAATTTTGGCTGTATTTCTTTACCGCCGGTGGCAACGTTTGCTTTGTTTTGAAAACACCAAAGCATTCTGCCTTTTAATGATGTGTTTCTGATCTAATATACATAATTCTCTTACGCGGCTCCCAAATTTTGGCTGAAGTACTTTGTACAACTAAATAAGATTCTTTTCACAACAGTTAAATATTTACTTTATTTTCTTCATTCATAGAGAAAACAGTCGGTAAAGAATTCTATTAGGTTAAAAAACACTTCGCTAAAAAAATAACGAATTCTAAAAGAAAAGAAAAATAAACAACTTGAAAAATAAAAATGCTCTTGCCAGCCATTGAATTTTTTGAAAGTTAACTTAGCAACATAAATCAAAATGACATAGAAGCGCAACTGGATCAAAATTAAGATACCTGAGAGCTTGATGTAACAAATCCTTCAATTCTAAAAGTGTTGTATCGCAAAATGCCCAAATTAACAATTGTGTTCTTAAAGAAATTCTATAAAAAGTTTTAAATAAACAACCTACTTCTACAACTGCTTCTTGAAGAACTTGGCTCATTGATTAAAAATATTGTTTTAATTTTACAGTACTAACTTTACTTCTACTTTCATTATTGCTATGACCCTCTTTCATTACATTTTACAACTTCATGCTAAATTTGAGGACTTTAAGTTGTTTTGTGGTTGAATACTGACATTTAGAAATGTGTACATAAAAAAAATAATATTTAGAGGTTAAGAGTTGCCTCAGAAAAATTTGAATTGTTGACATTGAACTTAACAATGGAAACAATCGTTTTTGTGAAAAATTGAATTGTATTGTTGACATCAAAACTAAAAATATTGTGTTTCAACTTAACAATACTACCTTAATTTATACTTTAGAATTGCCTCGGAGAAATTTGAATTGTTAGCAATGACTTAAACAAAAAGTTTTATTTTAACTGACAAATACTATATTATAATTTTAACTTTTTCTATGACTATACTCATTTTCTTACTCTTTTCTTTGTTTTTTATACATTTTATATTTTTGTGATAAAATAAAAAACTTATAGTTGTTCTGCTTCTGAACACTGATGAAAACACAAAATGATGGGCTTCATCAACAATCAAAAATATATACATTTATTTTACAAATTCCATATTATTAAGGTGGCGCCCTTCAGAGAATTAAAAATACAAAATTATCTTCATCAAAGCCGATGCTTTACATCCGGCGTTCAGTGGCAGACTACTATTTCATATTGTTTTACAACACATGGCTTTAGCCCTCTGGTGGGAAAGACTTTAAAACAAAACTTACAACAGTTACTTTTCTCAACAACTGAAATTTAGAATAGTGTGATTAAGAAAAATATGTGAACTGTTTGCAATTTCAAATTAATATTGAAATGTACAGGTTTAGAATTTTCTACAGTGAAAAGTTTTCGGAACTTCAGTATTCAAAAAAGTATACAAAAACTAGACGTTAAGAACGTATCCAATGAGCGAGCAAAGCGAACCCTGCAATCCGAAATGAACTGTGAAAGCAGTTCCGGGGGTTAGTGAGCGCAGGCGAGCTGGGGGCGAAGAAAAATATCCTCAATGCATCAGCAGTGTTGAAGAAAAATATCCTCAATGGTAGACGGAATCCCCTTGCCATCAGGCTAACTGTTTTTGTGGTAGGAAATGTGGGTTAATTCTATCAAAAATTCCTCCACGAAGGCAAATATCTCACAATACTTGATCCTTGAGTTCCTTTGTCTTCTGGATTTTAGTCAAAATGACAAGGCTACGGGGTTGAGCATTGGTAGTTGTAGACCCAAAATTGGGTCGGTTGTTCGTCGATGATTCTAAAATAAATCAATCTGGGTGGAATAGAAATCAACTATATTTGTAGAAAAAGATGTAACTTTGAGCTATATAAAATCATTAGAGAGTCAAATATTGTAAAAATTATAAAAGTAAACCGTGCGAACTATCTCATATCTTTAGAATGGATAATGATTCCAGATTTTAAAAAAAAATAATTACACATATTAAAAAACACATAAAAAAAATAAAAATGTCAACTTAGAACTTGTGTATTATGTTTTGTTTCTAGTTCCTTTGTATTTATTAATGAAATAGGTTGATTTTTTGCATTTTTTTTTTCCTTCAAAAAAAATTTGTTAGGGAAACGGTTAAAGTTGATTCATCTCAAACTTGGTCTCAAATCAAACTGAATAATGATTTTCAAATGTATTGATTGACATTCGAAACGTCTTTCTTGGTATAGCTTTTGGTGCTTCAGTTTGTTTATTTCTCCAATAGGATTGAAATCATTTTCTTTTCGGTTTCCTTTTCGTAATACGTTTTCATAAATTTGTCTACACTAGCCCCGTCCACTCCAGTGGATCTAGTGTAAACAAATTTTAAAAAAACTTTTTGTGAAAAAATTATCAATATTGCAATTTAGATAAAAACCAGAATGCGGCTAAATGTCAAGATTATTATTTTTAAAAAAATACTTCATGCGTTAAAAACAATATTAAATATCGTTTTGGTATAATTTGGTATAGTGTGGCTTTCGTATATTTGGCTTGGAGTCAGTAAAATCTGTCTGACCTGCTGAAGTTTAATTCAGTTGCTGACAGCAGAGAAAGTGAGTATTTGTGTTTTATATAATATATAGATAGTTGAAATAAAAGTGGCCTAGTAGGTAGGGCGCTGAACTCACGCTCGTGAGAACAGGAGTTCGAATTCAGAGACTCCTCGTGCAGTAAATGGTCAAATCTGTTGAATCACAAAGTCCTCCATGTTCCCATTTCAAATTATGTACCTCTAAGGATCATGTCAAAATTGCGATCTGCGGATGAATGAATGGATGTCTAAATGGGTCCGCCCTATAAACGGGTGTGGCAGAAGTCGAATTCTTGGCCATAGATGGCGCCACTGAAAAACGAGAACAATCGCACTCCCTTCATGACCTACAACAACGATTGATAACCGTGAATTATAAAATAATTCATTTTCTTTAAAATGCTGAGTAAACTTTTGCTGAATATAGTTTTTTTTCTTTTTCAGAACTCCCGCCACTACTTTGAGGGTGAGAGTGGGTGAGTACAACATTCGAGAAAATTCTGAAGTCTTTCCTCACGAAGAATACAGCGTGAAGAGAAAAGTGGTGAATGAAGATTACGAACCCGCTACCTATAGGCACGATATAGCACTATTAGAGCTCTCACACCCTGTAGTCTATAGGAAACATATAGTGCCCATCTGCTTGCCAGAAAAACTGGAAAACTTCACCGGCAGAATGGCGACTGTTACGGGATGGGGAAGAACAAGTTACGGTAAGTATGTACTGGAAGGGAATAAATCAATAAAGAATCTTTAAATAAAATACTTTTGATTCAGTGTCGGAACCTCAAAATTAAATGGTCCTTATAATGTTAGTCAGGAAAACGGTTGAGCGTTACTTTTATGTTAATTTTATCCTATTTCACACTGACTATTTCGAATCAAACACATTTATATTACACTCGTTTATCCAAAAATAATTCCAAGCACAATGTTGTTCTTTTATTTAAATTGTTCCCTTTTTTAATGATTCATTTTGTTATTACTTTTATTATTTACTTTGATAATAAACGTGAATTAAGTCATAAAAAATTTTCTAATGTGAGAAAAACTCCATTATTTGCTATAATTATACAATACAGCAATACTATTAGCTAGTACAGTGATTCTCAACCTTTTTTGGGGGGGGCGGCACACTTTTAACGATTTCGAAATTTGACGGCACACAATGAGAAAAATTATTTTAAAAGTTGTTTACTTACCTATAATACACTGTGTTAAATAGTTTGTGATAATAATTTTGAATGTGAAATAAAATAATATGTACTACAAAAGCGCGTTTATTAAGGGATTAATTATCTCTTTCGACTAGTTTTTATTAGTTAGTAACAGTTATATTTTTTTTTTTGCTAGCTATTAGTTGTTAGATTGTTTTCTAAAGTTATTAACTTATTTTTTTGTGAATTCTTGTTAACTAGTTTGTTTTGCTGATTATTAATTGTTAGCTTATTTTTTTGATAGTTATCCCTTGTTAATTTGTTTTTATAACTATTAATTGCATAGCTTACTTTAATGATTAGCTTNTTTTTGTTAGTTAGTAACAGTTATATTTTTTTTGCTAGCTATTAGTTGCTAGTTTGTTTTCTACAATTATTAACTTATTTTTTTGTGAATTCTTGTTAACTAGTTTGTTTTGCTGATTATTAATTGTTAGCTTATTTTTTTGATAGTTAACCCTTATTAATTTGTTTTTATAACTATTAATTGCATAGCTTACTTTAATGATTAGCTTTTATTTCCGTTTGAAAGTTAATATTTAGCTTGTTTCATTGTTAATTAATAATTTTACTAGTCATTAAATTTCCTATTTACTTCAACGTTTTTTTTTTTTTAATTTTCAAAGACAAGACGATTGCCGACAAAGATGTTCACGCGGTTAAAGCGCTGAATATATATATATATATACATACATACAGTGAAACCTCCTGTTATGGACACTCCTGCAAAACGGACACTCCCGTAACCGGACGCGAACAGTCATTTTGGCCCTGAAACGTTATTTTCCATCTCTTCAAACTGGACACTACTAAAGAATTTCACTACTAAAGAATCAATCTTTCTCTTGTCACTTTGCTATATCCTTGTTAGAAAAGGAGAGAAAATGATACTGCTCTCCTGAAATAATTCGGACAGCTGCACGTTTTGATCTTTTCATCTGGACCACACAGGTTATGAGACCCCAGGAGTTGAAATGACATGCTCTCAATGCTTCTTCCCCATGGAAAATTAATTTTCTTATCAGTTTGAAGACTGTATTTAACACAGCTGGAGTAAAAAAGAGAACTGAAATTTAATCTTTGATGCGTTCATATAAATGAAACACTTATTCAGACACTTGATAGCTGATCAGTTGTGAATAATCAACTCCATGTGACTGAACAGTGAATCATGAGAGGTTAACTTTCAAGAAGGTATTAATCATGTTCTTTATCAAATGATAGGTCGGTGTAAGGGGATGTAAACCTAATAATTGAAACCGACTGAGGACTGAAAGCTCCTATCATATGTCTGACTTGAGTATCTATGCTAATAGGAAAATTATATTAATTTATCAATAGCTACATGTAGAATTATGTATTTATACCTAACTTCTTTATACGAGGGTTGTATATTAAATAGTGGCAATTTTACCTTGAAACTCAAAGAAGGGCGGGCATGCGCTAATAGGATATGGGAGCGGTGAGATGGCGCTGTTGTCGATGTGTAGAGTGCAAAAAACAGTCGATCTGCTTAGAAGGGTAGTTGTTGTGTGGCGTTAAAGTGAGGAGTTTCGTTTCCATCGCTCTAAAGCATGTTGTGAAAAGGCTTAATGACGAAAAAAGACGAGATGCTTGAATCCATCGTGCTACTGTCCTATATGGTAAAGCATTTGCTCCAAAGGCTTCCACTAATCCTCGATAGCATTCTGTTGCATTTTTGCCACGGGCAACCTCGATTGTAAGCCACGACCGCTGATCACCTTTTGAAAACATGCTTTAGAGCGATGGAAACGAAACTCCTCACTTTAACGCCACACAACAACTACCCTTCTAAGCAGATCGACTGTTTTTTGCACTCTACACATCGACAACAGCGCCATCTCACCGCTCCCATATCCTATTAGCGCATGCCCGCCCTTCTTTGAGTTTCAAGGTAAAGTTGCCACTATTTAATTTACAACCCTCGTATATTCTTTTTTATCTTTCTTAAAGTTTAAATAAATATCCTTGTGGATAGTTATACTTATTGAAATTTCTTATTGTAAATTATTTAATTATATCTACATCTTTGAAAATATTCTAAAAACAGTTAACTGTGTTGAACTTCATTATTTGGGCACCCTTCCCGTAAGCGGACTTTTCTTTCTATACTTTTCTTTAATTTAAACTTTACTCGTAATAAAAAAGAACATTATAATTTTTATTGTATCATTTCTAATATTTAGCGGCACATTTTAAGAATTTTGCGGCACAGTGGTTGAGAATCGCTGAGCTAGTATATTATATCCTTTGAATTAAATCTCAAGGTCTATTCTTTTTATTCAGACGGCAGTGAGTGTATCCATAATTCGTAACTGTATATATTATTGAACCATAACTACAATAATAATAACGTGGTGACGTAGGGGAAGAGCGAGACGGTGAAGAAAATTTTGATTCATATAATTGTTTCTAAAACTAATTGAAGGAGAGGTTGTTTAAATACAGTTGTGTCGTGGTTACACTCCCTGGCCATATTATTAGACCCTATTATCACGTGATATACTCCATACACCATTTATTGTTTTGACGTGACTGTTTGCACTTGTTTACGTTCGTCTATCAACTGGTTTAAATTAGACGATAGATAATATAAAAATATAGAATACTTATTACATCAAGCATTATGTTATATAATAATTAGACCCAATGATGAGACGCTGCTTTAATAATGACATGTTCTGCACGAGTTTATAGGCAATACGAGTTTATATTTAGACATCCATGTCATGGGTTTTTATTCGGGATAGATTTTTCATAGACTTCCCATATGTGTATCTACTTTTAACGTATTGCGTGACACTGTTAACCCATTGATAGACGAATGTAAACAAGTGCAAACAGTCACGTAAAAACAATAAAGCGCTGTATAGAGTATCACCTGATAATAAAGATTTTACATAGAATCTCTTAGAGTGCGAGTCTAATAATCTGGCCGCAGACTGTAAGTTGTACTAGATAAGTTTGAAAGATGGTTGACGAGTATAATAAATTTATATGATTTATTTCTTTAATCAAAAAAAAAAAAAAAATTTGAAGGTCGTCGTACACCCCCCAACATTCTTCAGAAGGTGAGCGTTGAAGTGATTGGAACAGATATGTGTCAGGAATGGCTTCGTATTGCTGGAAGAAAAGAGACTGTCTATCCAACAATGGTCTGTGCTGGTTACAAAGAAGGAGGAAAGGATTCATGCCAAGTAAGTCTCTCTCTTTCTAATATTATTACAGTGCCAGTTCATGGATCATACGCACTATAAAGATTCTATATAAAATCATAATTACTCAGGTGATACAGCTTTATTGTTTTGACGCATAGGATTTGCAATTTTTTACGCTCCTGTATTGTTTAACATTGTAATGCAATACGTTAAAAATAAATTCACATAGGAAGTCTATAAGAAATCTCCTGAATTAAAAACCCATGACATGTATGTTTAACTATAAAAGTATTGCCCTCATGCAAAACACGTCATTATTTAAGAAAACTACAGTTGCGTCTCATAATTCGGTCTAATTATTATAGTATACTCACATGATGCTTGAAATATTAAGTATTCTATATTTTATGTAATATATTGTCTGATGGAACCCATTGATAGACTACCGTAAACAAGTACAAAACAGTCACATCAAAACACTAAAGCTGTATAGAGTATCACCTGATCATTAAGATTTTACATAGAATATTAGAGTGGGTCGAATGCCAGAAACTGTAAATTAAGTTATTATTTTTTTTTCTCCAGACAATTCCAAATGTCTGTCATTCAATTATACTTAACAGTATATTGTAAAATATTCATAAAGAGTCGTCGTATTTTTAACTTCCCTTTTGTTTCTTAGGGTGACTCTGGTGGTCCTCTGACCATTCGAGAAGATGGCCGAACGACACTGATAGGTCTAGTCTCGTGGGGTGTGGGTTGCGCTCGACCCAATCTACCCGGTGTCTACACGAAAATCACTGAATACTTGGACTGGATACGAATACATCTGCGATCATGATCTCCTCATAAAATGTACATTCATTTGTTTATAAGACCATTTGTAAATATTTTGTTCAATAGAGAGACCACTGCATAGAATACAGAATTGAAGAATGCATCACACAATACAGCGACTTTGTAGCAGAACGTTACAGAGTTCTTGCAGAAAGATTTTTCGATTAAAAAGCAAAAAATTTTACTTTTCTTTTCTACAGAAATTTACAGGTAATATTTAAATCTGTATTTTCGGCAGTTATTGATATTGATATTGATTTTCACGTGGTTTTTTTTTTTTAAATATCTCGAGATATTTCAAACACAATGGAAAATTCGAATCGTGCATTTGAGTATTTATTTTTTAAGGCAATAATTCTGTGGAATTTTTGGCAGGTGTTGCTATTGATTTCGCCTTAGTTTTTAAATCCGATATTTTTTATGCTATATTATTTATGCTATATTATTATTTATATTATTTTTCAACGTCATCTCAAAAAGGAAACACGCATTTGAAGAATCCGATTCGCGTCGATCTTTTTATGGGCATGATTTTTTATTCTGATGATTATTTACAAAATGCGAAGAAGGAAATAATTCGTGCGTCCCTCCCAAACAAATTGCAAGGATAGTAGACTAAAAAATTACGACATGTTCAATTAAAAAAAATAGTTTATAGTTTTTTTTTTGTTGCAAAAGCAGCGCTTTTTAAATGAGTAACATATATGTTTGTTATTATTAAAAGTATCTCGCAGAAAGTTTTTATCGCAGAAAAAATTCTACCACAGGTTACACAGAGATTGTTTTGCGGTTACAGTGAGAATGCATAATTTTCCGACCATTATGAAATTCAAAATCATTTTGATAATTGCAATTGTTAGATCACTTTTTCCTAAAATCTAACGAGTAATCTTATTTTTTGCAGTTCCAAAACAGTTCATATCGGGTTAGAGACTTGGCCATGGATGGTTGAGTGTAACCCATCCAACCCAGATGGCAAAATAGGGTTTATTTTCACTCAGCAAAAACCTTTTAATGTCAACCTGAAAAAGTTTATTGTGCTGTTTACGTGTAAAGCTTGAAACGAAATCTGTCACAATCTTCTAAATTCCACGCACATTACCCTAATCCAAAACACTGGAAAACAATCTTCGATATAAAAACCTTAAATCGAGACTGACTTAGGGTTTTCAAACGCGAAAAAAAAATATAGCTGCTAGTCTGAAGGAGAAAATTATCCTAAATCTAGGTATTTATAAGGTTTTCTCTTTGTTCAGCTAAAGTTTGATCCTCAGCTAAATAATGCAATTGTCTATCGCTAGTAGTGTGACGTCAGCTAAAACGTCATGACAACTACTTTTAAAAGAAAAGCTTTAACAAAATAATTTTTTAATCCTTTTAGATATTCATTGCTTCATTGAAAAAAAAGGGGGTTTTTTAGTACAAACATTTTCGTGACACTGGAATATGCTTTCTGGGAATATGTCTGTAAACTCTACTTCACATCCGTCATAATTTCAAAAAAGATATTCTTCAAATCATAGTCTCTAAAAATGGTTTCAGAAATCTTATTGGACATAATTTTGTGACATCATACATGTTGTAAATGTGTTTATTGTAATTATTTTTCATTGCATAAAGTTTTAATAAGTTATTGTTCCGAGTCTTTTTTTATATCTAATAATAAGACACGAGAAACGAAAGGAATTATAATAAAATTATCCAAAGCCTGACGAAATCCCGGGCACCCCATCAGAAAGGGGGAAATCGAATTGAAACTTTTTTTTAAACAAAATATCATCACAGTGTCAGTTTTATGTTACCTTCTTCATTAGTCTATCGCATGAACACAAAATTACTATATTTCATAAATCCATGGTTTCTTAGTGCGGAATTCGGCTAAATTTTTGCAATGACGAGGGACGAATTTGGCCAATCAGAAGCCTGTATTTTTACATATTCCAAAGTGTTTACAAAAAATGCAGGCTTCTGATTGGCTTGAGTGAGCCATCGTCATTGCAAAAATTTAGCTGAATGTCGCCCCAATGCCTGCAAGAATATGAATTTTTCACAGCTAGATGACTAAACTGCATTCGGGCTGATGGACATAACTTTTGAGACATTTTAAATTTATCATGCAATGGCCCTTATTTCGCCAACTCAAAGTAAGTTTGTCCCAGTATAGTAGCTTTCTATTTAAATTAGATTTATTATTTTCTTACAATAATATCACCAGAAAATTTGGCTATTGAAGTTACATTATAATTAGACATAATTTTGTTGTTAATTTATTGTTCTGATGAATTCAATTTAAAACTGAATTTCAGCTCAGGTTTATCTAAATAGAACTCTTTTTACTTTAGCTATTTTGTTTTTAATATCTTAAGGAATTTTGATGCTCATCTTAATTTAAATATCGGTTGCTCCAGTGCAGTTTTGTGACGTTTATATTTTAGTTTTAAACATAGGACAGAATTCGTAGTACTTTTTGATTTCATTAGATTGACGTTACTATTAGGTGCAGTACAGCCGCTTCCAACGTTTATCACATTCAATGTAATATCCAGTCAAACAACCTGAAACTTTTTAGTCAAATTAAAAATATTTCTAAAAGTGGAACCATTTTCTTTTCAAATTACATATTAATGGAATATTCTATTTTATATCAATGTGATCGTGTAAAGCTAATATTTGTGAAAAAAATTTCAATGCTCCAATCCCAAATAAAAACATCCCCAAAATCCAATAATATTTAATCATTAAAAAAATTGAAGTGGAAACTATTTTTATCGCTGACTTATGATCCAACTTAGTGATTTTATTTGTTAAATCGACACCAATTCATTTCATTGATAGATTGATTTCAGCCACAGGTTCGTTTCGTTGTGTTTTATTGACAAAATCATTTCGTAGACATCGTCATTTCATCGATAGGGTCATTTTGGAACTATTTTTAGGATTTATTTGCTTGTCGATTTCGTTTGTTTTGCTTTGGTTTATTTATACGCAAAATAGTTTTACTATTAAGTATAGAAATACTATTTTATAATTTTTATACTAAAGCAATATTTTTATGCTATCTTGCATTAGCCATGAAAGAAATATTTGGAAAAAAAATAAATAAGTAATGAATTTTTTATTTGCAGGATTTAAAATTGACACATATTCTTACTTAACAGAAAATCAAATCTAGAATTTAAACTTAAAAATAATTAACCATTACTCTACGAAAAAGACAAGAGATATTTTGCGAATGAAATTTCGACCCCTTTCCAACTAAGTGCTTGAATTTTATCTGGTCCCCTGTACAGGATGACCATACAATTTTCAAACACTTTATAACCACTACAATCAGGATGACAATTTTCCGGCCGCAGCAAACCAAAAGACACAAAACTGAAATGCAGGAAATATAAAAAAAAACCTAATAATAACTTTTAAAAAGAAGTTTCTGTAGGGGTTAATCGGTGAAATGATTTCAATATTTAGTTTCTTCACTTACTCTATCAAGAACCCATTACTTTTGCGATGCTAATCTATAATAATGCACTTACAAATGAATCTTTGAAACGTGTAAAATACAACTAGAACACCAAGTGTAAAAAAAAAAAAAAAAAAGGTTTCGTATTGCCACGTGGGGTGAAGCAAAAAAGAGTAGGGGGGGGGAATCTTTTTACGGGCAACTACAATGCTTCAGACTAGGTTTTTATAAGATTCCACTAAATGACGAAGAAGAACACAAACAAATCCTAAAAATAGTTTCAGAATGGCGCATGACTTTGACTACGAAATGACCTTTTGTCAACAAAAGGACGACGAAATGAGTTTGTTGACAAAACGACTCTGTCGATAAAATGAATGAACCCGTCGATGAAATGAACCTGTCGACGAAACGACCCTGTTGGCAAAAATTGCCCTGCCTCCTAAATCAACCAGTCGACGAAAATCTTATCTTTAGCCCTTTTTCAGTTGCCTTCCAGATAAATCGGTCTACAATGAATCCTGAATATAATGACTCTGAAGAATAATTTTGTAGTTTAGAATATAGTTTTAAAAGCTTTTCGGCAATTGACTCCACAATCTATCTACATTCCTGGATTGGGATGCGACATTTGCAAGTGTTTATTTGAAATATAGGGAATACAAATGGTTCGCTTTCCAATGAGGTGACTCGAATCCCGCACCCGACCACAGTGCTGACGTAAAATATCCTTAGTGGTAGACGGATCATAGATTAGGGTCCCCTTGCCGTCAGGATAACTGTTGGCTGTTAGAGATAATTAGATTTTGACAGCTATTACGTTACTGTTTTCAGATGTTTACATCCGTGAGTGTAGCATCGTCGTTAAGTGAAAGCATCGAATAAGTGGGCGTTTTCGCCAAGTGAAGTTTAAATAGTGTTNTGTTCAACGACGATTATAAAATAAAATAAAATGTTTAGGAGTAAATTTGGATAACATTGTTTAGAGATTAAGTGCGTGTGGTACTTATTTGAAAAACAATTATTATGAACTCTGATGCAATTTTTTTTTCTCAAAAAGTGTTCATAAAGGGTGAAAACAACACATTTAAAATTTTAAAAGAATGGATCAAAAAGATATTTAAACTTATTTAAAAAAATTAATTAAAATGCTACTCGTTTTGGTTATTTCCTCTTGAAACTTTTACTGCTGATAGTTATACATTAGGGATTTGAAATTCTAGAAAAAAATTCTGAGTTTAATTATTAGAAAATTTAATCATCTAATAGAAAAATAATTAAATTACTTAATAATTTAAATTATTATTACTTAATAATTTAAATTTATTAAGTAATTAGAAGATTTAAATACTTAATAAATTTAAATTACTTAAAAAATTTAAGTTTTACATATTTTTTAAAATAAAACGACAACCTACTATTAGATTTATACCATCTTTAAATTATCATATTACAATTAATGATCCACGTGAAGCTTTTGGAAGAAAAGAAAAAAAATTTGTGCTTCATATGAAATTAAACTTTCAGAATTTTAGCTTATGGAAACTAAGCTTAAAGTTTTCATTAAAGTATAGGGATTACTCGTAAAAATTGTTATTTTATAATTAATATTCCTCGCAGAGCTATAAAATTTAGCTACTATATAGAAAATAGTATAAAAATTAATTTAACTGGAAAAAAAATTTTCTCTCGATATTTTGGTCGGTTTTTTCAGTTATGCCCCCAATAAGTTAATAAACGTTTTTATAGATTTGCATTGAAATTTTTTTTTAAAAAATAAACATTGTTTTAAAAAAGTTGGATTCTTCATATAAATTTAGTCAACTGCAATGAATAATTAAATCTTACGAAAATTAAAATTATTTCTGAGATATTAAACCAAAACTTTCTTTTACAGCTTTAGACAGGATAATAATCTTATGAAGTATTCTAGATTAAAAATAAATAAATAAAACACTATCACTAGAATTAAAAAAATATAATAATAAAACATTCATAAATAAGACACAATTTTTTCTCCCTAAATACTCTCAATTGGTTCGACTAAATTATTCATGCTCCTTTACTAAGATTTTTTTTGTATTTTAAATTTTATTTTTGATTTGAGCTTTTGTAAATGATCAACACTAGTGAAACTCTTTAAAAACTTCAACCACATAACAGGGCTTCATGCTGGAATTCTCAGCTTTGGCTCCTTGCATATTTTCGCAACATCTTGTTTTTGCCATTAGATCTGCAGAAAAAATAGCATAAATATTATTCACATTATAGAAAGAGCAAAAAGATTTACTAATCATATTGTATGCTTCTGACAGTGCGTTTTACTTAATTTCAAATCACTCAATAAATGTTTATAAAGCTAGGTTACTCAGGGAAAAAAGGTATATGGACTAAAGACAATAGTCTCTTAAGTGTCTGCCGTTACTATGACGACTCCTCTTTTCATTTAGTTAACGAAATAATATCGTCAAGAGTCATGATTCTTGATAGGTCATCCTTTGAAACTTTTTGGCTGTTTTTTAATATTTTCTGTTCCTTCGACGACCGTTCGTTTACTTAATTTATTCAGATCATATTTTCTAAGCATTCATGACGTAACAAGTAAATAATTGAATGAATGAAGCTAGAATAGAAAGAATAATGATCATGTTAATCGATAACTGATTACTGAAACTTAATAATTTTTCTCATATATACTATCTGTTTCTATTTAAAGTAGTTTTCAAAATTAAATATAGATGGCAGCACAAAGTGACGTGATTAGTAAATGATAAATTTTTTTTCTTCTCTATTCTGTGAAGTTTAATTCTTTATGTGTTTTGTCTCAATGAAGTTGTGTTATTAAAACAGGCATTGTAATTTCAAAGTGATTATTTCCCCGAGAAGAGATAAGGCTATTATTAATTGCATTAAATAACTGATTGCACTGTTTAGAATCGAAGCATAGACTATGGCTTAATGAAGTCATACTCCATAATCTGGTCAATGCTGCTATTATTGGGCACATTAGATATTTTAGAAATAGACAATCGAAGTTTAGAGACATTTTTTTTCCGAAGCAGAACGCAGCAAATCATAAATTTCTATTCCCTGAATTATTATTATTTTCAAATCGTTTGGGATTTTATTTCTGATGCCTCTGCGAAATCGCGACCGTAGAATTGTATCAATCATTTGATGGGTGTATATTTTTTGTGGCTACGATTCCATCAAAAAAATAAACTAGTTTTTTCGGTTCCCCCGAATTCGTCTGAAAACTTGTCCTGATAGCAGTTTTGACCGAGCAATTTGTTTTGCCAAATGACGATTAAAACGTCACTATGGATTGCAGTTTCAATATAAATGAAAACAACAACAATCACGATCTTTTGATCAGCTGTACTTCCGGTTAGAGAGTATACAACTGCTTACTACATCTAATTCCGCGAGGTGATATTTTTAAACGGATAATTTTGTCCTTAATAAAAGAAAAAAAATATATAATTTCTGAGCTCAAATCTGCTGTACTTCATAAGTTATTAACGCTTCCCTGATTATCCCGAGTTAACTCGGGTATGTGCATATTGCAAATATTTATTATTCCGAGAATACTCGGGCATCAGGATTTGTCAATCCGTTTTGTTTTATCACGTTCTTATTCGGCCGAAAGCAAAACAAAAAATAATAATAATCTGCTGTGATTGGAAATTTGTCAATATTTATTTGAGAGTGTTGGACTGCAGACGTGTTTCGTACAATTGTATATAGGGGAGGCCGGGATAGCCTGGTCGGTAGGGCGCTGGGCCCAAATCCAAGAGGTCGTGAGTTCAATCCTCGCCGGCCGAAGACTCCCCGTGTAGTAAATGGTGACTGATGCACGTTAAATCTGTCGAGTCTCAAAGTCCTCCATGTTCCCACAACAAATCAATACCTCTGGGGGTACTGATCCAGGAGTTTCCTTGTCTTCTGGATTGGTTCAAAATTACAAGGCTACGGAGTTGAACGTAAGTAGTCGTAAACCCATGAAATTGGGTCGGCTGTTCAACGACGGTTATAAAATTGTATATAGGATGGTGGATGAATTTACATAGAGTAAAAAAAATGGCTTTCGAGAGCGAAAGTAATGCAGATGATGAAGGTGTGAACCTATACAGAGACTGATATTTAACTTTTTTCATTTGCCCGAGATCATGTGGGATAGTAAACTGATGAAAAATTATTTTCTACACATAAAAAAAATTAAAGTTTCAACGTAGAACTTTTGTATTTCGTTTTAGTTCCTCGTATTTATGAATGACATAAAAAAGTGAGTTGATTTTTCTTTAAAAAAAAAAAGAAAATTGGTAAGAGAAGCGATTTGTACTTAATTCGAGACATATGAATGAGTTAACTAACCTTTTCCATCCTGGTCAAATTGCTTCATCCAACATTTTCTTTCTTTCTTCATTGCTTTGTCCCGCACTCTCTCCCACTGGTTTGTTCTGTCACCCTGCTTGATCACATCAGAATATCTCATAGCCGACAATCTCTTAGCTATATCTGGTCTGAATTGCATAACGGCGTGAGTAGCCCATGGATAATTAATTCCAACATAATCACTTAAGAATGGACAGTGACCAGTATATCTGGAAAGAATAAGAACCTAACTTACTGACCATGTCTCATTTGTTAAACTTGTGGGCAACCTTCCTCTAATTAAACGTACCTCAACATAGAATCGAGTGTATTTTTGTACGGGTAGACAAACTATAGTACTCCCCCACCAGAATTTTATCTGTGATAGAATTAGATGAACGGATACCACTAGTGGATTCATTGCTGTTTTGTGAGAAGCCGGGAGAGTTGTACTAAGATCACCGGCCATTTTAAATGCTGATCGTGAGCGCTGTATTAAGCTCACGATCGTGGTCGCTCCTGTGTTGCCATGAGCAGTCGAGTGTATGCAGTTCGTCGTTGTATGTGATCGAGACTGAGTAGTCACAGAGCGAGGAGGTGGATAATGTCGCAGTCACAAGTAGCAAGTCAAATGTTCATCGTGGACAATCCATCGAAGTGGGAGTTTCTGTCAAGGTAGGCGTGATCACATCACGTTCGAAGGTCACCCATGTGGAGAGAGTTGCAATCGACCCTGTCAACCTTCATCTATGAAGGTTAGACCCCATAATCGAGTGAACATGTCTTATATACCAGGGAATTGGAATCGTATTTTTGTAGTGGTAGACAAACTCTAACACGTTAAGAAAAATTTGTTTTAATGAAATTTATCATCTTGTGTTTATGCATTTTTTTTATCATCAATTTCATATCAGTTCTCGCAATAGTAAAACAAAGAAGAAAAAAAAAATAGAATCGGAGGTCATATTACAATGACGAGACATGCAGCGCTTGCTTCCCAATAAGGTGATTCTCCCGACTGGCCAGTGGACACCTGAAAAATCTCGCATTTTCTGCTAATCAAAAGATCTTTCCTCTTTGCCCTAAATGCCAACAAAACCACCTGAGCTGTTTAGGGCTGGACTGGAACGAATCTCATTCCTCTTAGCTTCGGACTTCCTAAGTGTCAACAGATTTATTGATCTGGTCTGATTCCGTCAGACCAGATGGGAATTAGTAACAACAGGATCGTATTCCGACGATGGATAATAAAAATTTGCTTCTAGCTCGCTCCGAATACAGTGCTGACGTAAAATAATATTCTTCGAGGTAAACGGATCAGGGGTTAAAATGTGAGTTATATCAAAATGTCTTCCACGAAGGCTCTATGCTTGATCAAAGGGTTTCCTTGTCTTCTGGGTCGGGTTCAAAATGGCAAGGTTACAGAATTTATAATAGTAAGCCCAACAAATGAATCTGCTTTTTAACGCTAGAAATGAAACAAATTGAAAAGTAACAAGAAGTAAATTAAGCTTCAATTATTTAAAAGAAAATCCGGTGCATTTGAAGTATAGGACTTGTCAATCTGATCTTGAGAAATATGCCTCTAAATCTTTTATACTTTAGTACTAGTTATATCCACACCTCAAAGCATCGCCTCTTTTGAATCTCTGCACCATATCTGGTCGAAATATAGTCATAACTAATAGTCATAGCTAATAGTGGAAGAATTTCGTGGTTTTCTTCTCTACATAACGCTAATGCGTAATGATTATATCAACAACAAAAAAGTTAACGAAATGTCGTTTATCACAATGCTTAATTCAGGTGTTCCCTTGTCTTCCGGGCTAGGTTCGAAATAACATATCTACAGAGCAACATTACATATCTACAGTCGCAAACCCAAAGATGGATCCGGATATTTAATGCCATTAAAAAAATAGTTGCTATTGTCTTACTTAGGCTCAACAATATATGTATTAACTAATCAATTCGTATAAATTTAAAAATTTTATAGTTCACTAAGGCTCGAAATCTTGATTGATGTAGCAACAGAGTTTCAAATCTTGTTCAACACTAAAATAGTCTCTAATTTAATTTGGAAGATCTCTCATTACTGTTTTGAATCTCCTCACAATGAACGTATGTTCAAGCTTTTCTTGACATTTTCATTGCTGTTTGTCACAAAATTTAGGCACTCTAGCTAGTCAAAAAGTGATTGCAGGATTTGACCCACACCGATATTGCAACGTTGTTAAAAGTTCATTTATTTCATCCCAACTTGAAATATAAAAACTTTTGCACTTATTATATATAATTGTTACTGTTTTCTTTTAATTAATTTTTGAGTGAAAAAAGTTTTGTACGATAAACATGGATTACATGAGAGTTCTAGGAAATTTTCGGTTACACTATATTTCAGGGTGCCCCTTGATTCTCGCGAAGCTGAGCGATGTAAATTTATTTATGGAAACGTCTAAAGTTTTTTTTTTGAAACCCAATCGTGATTCTGATTTGTTTAGATTTTAGCGTTATTTTTGAATGTTCAACGGCTTATGTAATTTCAGAGGTGAATCAGTTCTACGTTGGATGACGTTTTTGTTTTCTGTGCTTACTGCATTAATTTTTATTTCGATTCAAAATGCATTTTATTGGGTTTATNTTTTTTTTTTTTGGAAACCCAATTGTGATTCTGATTTGTTTAGGTTTTTGTGTTATTTTTGAATGTTCAGCGGTTTATGTAATTTCAGAGGTAAATCAGTTCTACGTTGGATGACGTCTTTTTTTTTTTCTGTGCTTACTGCATTAATTTTTATTTCGATTCAAAATGCATTTTATTGGGTTTATTAATTTTGCTTATATTGTGTTCATTGCAATTTTGAAAAAATTGGAAAGTTTTTACTCATGTTTTATAGAAAATTTCCAATGTTTTATTGAAATTTCATAAATAAATCATATCAAAACATATTTAATAAATAAACATGTTTTGGCCTTCATTCCTGTCCGAACAGAAATGGTGCCAAACAAAAAATCGCCAATAGGACACCCTCAAATATATTTCTATCAGTAATTTCTGTAACAAAACATCAACTATATAAGTTGTACTTACCCAGGTATAAAATGTGGTTCAGGAACAGGTCTGTCATAGCGGGCATTTTTTTGTAAGTGAGTCATCTTATTTGATTAATATAAATTCTGAATAAAACTAATTAATTTTAAAGCTATCTGAATGCCTGAAAAATTTTATTTAAATTTATCTAAAATTTCATTTAAATTTATTTATCTGGAATTTTTTTTTTCTCCTCACGAGAAAGATGGTCAAAAACTGAAACTCAAAAACAGTATTTATGCCAACCCATTAAGTATAATTGGGTATACTATAGCCTACGTCACAGATCGTGTTATTCCTACTAAATTTAACTAGTAAACAGCATTTTCTGCGAACCTGATTTCTAGCAACAAGTAAAAGCATCAAACGAAGTGGGGCCTTCCTGGCCGAGCGGTATCGCCGGTCCAAACGCTCTGTTAAGCGTGGAGGTAGCGGGTTCGAATCCCGCCGTAACCCTGGATGTATTCTTTGTGATGTCTTTCTCTGAATTGTTCTATCTGTATTTTCTACTTGACAATGACTTATAAGCCTATATTGAGCACACAAGTCAGCAAATGTATGTAATTTCAATAAAATAAATAATAATCAAACGAAGTGTCTTGTTATAAGTCGCTACTCGCCAGGTTGGAATTTTATTAGTCTAGTTCCCTTGGAAATAATTTATATTGTTGTTTTACCGAAGTTTATGAATTTAGTAAGCATATTTAAAACTCAGTTTATTAATTAGACTAAAAGGTAAATGTTATTCCTAGTAAGTGGAAGTAGTTGTGCTTTTTTCATATTATACCCAATTGTAAGAGCAATAAAATAACAAGTATTTAAATTTAGTTTTATAAAAAATAAAAACAACGCGTTGCTAAGACAACTCAATAATAATTACAATCTTGACTTTCCATAGATTGGGATGCAAAAGTATTAATGATTGTTTATATTAACTTGTAAATAACTCTGTATATTAAATGTCGTGATGTCTCCAATTTACTTCCTTCTTATTTCTCCAAAATCGCACATAGTAGGAAGACTGAAAATCTTCCCTTACATAATAAACCTATCTAAACCAAATTTAATCAAACCAATAGGTTTAGAAACAGGACCTTCTATTTTTAAAGATCAATTTCTAAGCCAGTGATTACCAACAGTCGGCCCGAGGGCCACGTCCGGCCCGCGAAGCCTTTTTTTGTGACCAGCGAACTAAAATATATTAGTTGTCATTTTTTGCGGGCAATTTTCGTGAAAAATCTATATGGGTTTAAAATACGTTTCTTTCGTTAAAAAAAAGAACCTAATTTCTTCGTTTCTGTGAAATTTAACATTCCAACGGTGCAAAAGAATTTATTTCTCAGGTTTTGCATCCGAGAAGATATTTATTCAAATACAAAAATAATCGTGTACTAGGAGGCTTCGCCCCCTGCTCGCTGGCGTTTCGCAGTTCATTTCGGATTGCTTCGCAATCCAATGCTCGCTCATTGGATACGTTCTTAATGTCTAGCTTCTGTATACTTTTTTGAATACTGAAGTTCCGAAAACTTTTCACTGTAGAAAATTCTAAACCTGTACATTTGAATATTAATTTGAAATTGCAAACAGTTCACATATTTTGTTTAATCACACTATTCTAAATTTCAGTTGTTGAGAAAAGTAACTGTTGTAAATTTTGTTTTAAAGTCTTTCCCACCAGGGGGCTAAAGCCATGTGTTAAGCTGCTCACTGCGTGAAATTTAAAAAAAAAATTTTTTTTTTTGTAACTTGGGTGATTTTTTCAGGAAAAAAAGCAAACAAAAAAGAAAGTTTCCTATACTCTCATTTCATACTACAATGGTTTTATTTAAATCTTTGGTTTTTGTTTAAACCCTATAAATTTTCTTCAATTAAAATATTAAATTTATATTACTCATCAGAATATGTATTTATTGATATATTTTTTGTACTGTCATTTTGTGAAGATTACTTTTTTTTTTTAAAAAAAAGTTTGAATTTATTTTAAAAAGATTGTGATAGGACAAAAAAACAAACAAACATTTCTTTTATTTTTTTTTAAGTATATCAATTTTTGATAAAAAGGAAGAAAAAAAAGAAAGAGTTTTTTCCTTTTTGAATGAATTTTAATAAGTATTTTTAGAAATTAAAAATATTTTATTTTTTGAAAATATTACTGATAAATTTCAGGTTTACGGATAAAAAAAAATAAGTGCTTATGTTAATATAAAAACTGTTATTTACCGTTAACATGTCTAAATACTTGTGCGGCCCTTTGTTATTCTACCTGCTGGACAAGTGGCCCTTCACTATAAAAAGTTATGTACCCGTTATTTAACAAATTGAGTAATATTCAACACATAAGTTTAGCTTTTTAAAAGTTAGTAAGTCAAGTCTTCTTGCCATTAAATATATACTGTATATATATTAGATAGGCACCATTGGTCAAACATTAAATAAATTTAATTTAAAAAAAAAATGTGCTTGACAGAAACGATTTACCATACCTAAATTTGTACAATCTGAAAAAGGACTTAATCCGTAAAGCTGTAGTGTAAGCATTTTTTTTTTTTTGAGATGATGAATCATAAGCCATATCCCCATGTACTAATGTCAGATTTATTTTTTCCTTCATAATGTAACTTTTATCCCAAAATTTTAATCATTTTCTCTCCTTCCTGGATTTTTTCTTCAGAAAAAGGAAATTTGGTACTTTAAGTAAGCATCTCCCTTTAACAGCAAAAACTTACAACAACCTTACATAATGCTTAAATGAAATTAAAATAAGAGATACTCGAAATCAAATTTTTTTAACAAATAATTTTATATACCTGTTTGTTTTTGCATACCTAGTTACAGACACACAATTAGACAATCACTCAATGAAAAGAGAAATTTTTCTACAGATTTTAGTGCAATAAATTTTCCAAGACACATAATTGAACAAAATAACAAACATATATGATTCTAAACGAAAAATTCTATTTTTAATAATAATTGTACATAAAAATAACATTTTAAACTCTAAAAATAATTCAACATTTAAATAAAGAAAATACAACAGAATGTAAAATAAGTTAGACAAATGCTAGTTTAAAATTTTGTATGGATGATGAAAATTTAAACTGGCGATCAGTGTAAAAAATAATTTCCTTCTAATAATTTATTTGACGAAATTCTTTTATTTTGCTTCTCATTATGCGCAGAGACTAAAAGTCATGTTTGAAAAATTTGATATCAATTTCCTTTATTACTCCAATTTTAAGCATGTAAAAATTTTGGTCTGCTTTCTTATGTAGTTCTTCTGCAATATAAAAAAAGGATATTTAAAATTTTCTATCCAAATTTTGCTGCATGGTAGCCCAAGATAGTACATCATTTTGGTACTATTTAGTGAGACAAAATGTGGAACTGATAATTTTTTTTTTTCATTAAGTTTTAGTATAATTCACTATTCATATTGAAGCAATTGTGCAAGAGAATCGCAATATAACCCATCGTTTATAATTCATAGAGTGGTTGATGAAGTTCCTATATATTGAATTTTTAGAAAGTTAGATTAAATGAAAAATTTTAGTGGTAAAATAAAAAAGCTGCCAACACGAATAGGAAAAAATCCGGTAGATTTTACGAAATATAAATTTCATGATAATTGTAACAAAATATACTAAAGATAGGGAATTTTAGGGGAAAGCATAGGGAATTTTAGGGATTTTTTATAGTCATCAAATAGAAAAACTGCAATATTTTCCAGTTATGATTTCACATTAAATGATCTTGAAATGTTATATATTTTGTTTATTCATAATATAATGATTAATAGGCATTTAATTAATAATAGGCATTAACAGGGGTGATTGTGAGCCCAAGTCAAAATTCCAAAAAATTTCCTGAGATAAAAAAAAAAAACAGTTTAAATTGAAAAAATTTTAAACTTTTTTTTCCTTTTTCTCAATAGTTCTTAGTTTACTTAAAATATATTTAAAATTTTACACATACCTATCATGACCTGGAGAAGTAATTAAAATTTACAAATATGTCTTTCTTTTTTGAGTTTATGATAATAACAACTATTTACTGATAAAAAATGAATATTTATTATGAATATAAGCTTATCTCTCTGGCTCTCCCTTACAAACAAATAAAATAAACTGTGTTTTTAAGTTCCACCTTTGAAAATTTGATTTCCGGAAACTTCTGTGATCAATGATTTTTCAAAACGTCTGGACCTTCCATCTTTGGAAACTTCCAGATCACTGTTAACGAAAAATCCGGATTTTTTCCGGAGCACAATCAGCCCTGCATTTAATAATAATAGGCATTTAATTCATCAAAGATAGTTAACTGAATTTTATAAATCAGGATTTGATTGAATTGAGGATTATAATTTTATGATTGAATTTTAGAAAAATAAAATAAGTGTATTAGTGACACTTATTAAAATATTCAAGCTAGCAATAATTGTAGCCTGGTTTAGCACTAAAATTCTACTTCAATAGGGATTTTTTTTAAGGAAACTTACTCAATTTCAGGGAATTTTCTAAAAAAAGTACAAAAACCAGAGTTTTTATTAAACCAGTAAATTATGAGAAACTGGTAAAATCCAGTAGAGTTGGCAGCTATGCATAGAGGTAGCAGTAAAATAAAAATGTAATGGCGCAGGGTCAGAGACAAGCTGAATCGTGACTGGTCCAGTGTGCGTCAAAAAGAGCTTCTTAAGCTAAATCGGAACAGTTTGAGGAAGATCTTCTCACTGCACCCTCAAGAGACACATTATGGGTTCTCTCTGACGTCATCTAGAGGAGGACTTTGTGAGAGTCTATTCTGCTCAAAAGGTATTTAGGGTCCTACAAGCTGAACTTTGTTTCAGCTACAAAGGGTTTTTGCTCATTTAGAGTACCTCTGGTTGCCCAACCTCTATTCTAAAATAAATATGATTTAAGATTCAATGAAAAACAAAACTGCTTCCCTATTTAAACTTACGAAATGATGCAACTAAATGTTAAGTGACAAAACCAAGTATCAAAAAATATATATATTCTTAAAACAGGGAATTTGTAATAAACATTATTGGTATCATTTATAAAGCGTAAGAAAATATTTTTCTTCTCTTGTTTCAACATAAAATGTAAAAGCTATTTATAATCAGATAATTTAAAAAGTAGGAAGAATCCTTTACTATTTAAATTTTAGCTATTAATGCTGTTTAATTTTTAATCTAATTTTGCGCTAGTAATTTTTATTGTCTTTTTTTAATTGCTTCGATTAAATGTAATCTATTAAATGTTAATCGATTAAATTTAATTATAGATTAAAATTTAAAAAATACTCTTTGGAAATATTATATAATAAAGAAATATCTTTTACTGTTTCAAATGTCAGTGAGGAAAATATTTGTAATTTAAGAAACTCTAGATATTTATAGGCAGTGTAAAACAATATATGAAATTCTTTAATGCTCTTTCCATAAATCCAAGAAGAAAAAAAGTTTAAAATGTTTTATGCAATTTCCCCAAGTTACGCTCAAGGTTCCCCAAGTTACGCCAAGTTACGCAATTTCCCCTATTCTGCTCAAAGGTATTTAGGGAAACACTGCATTAAACCCTCCAGAAGTTCTGCAGTACGCAAGTGTTTAAAAATAATTATAAACTCATTTTAGGTGAAGTAAATTCTATTAATATTAGAAAAACATATCAAAATAATTTGAACAACAATAAAATTTTCAATCTGTATACAAAAATAAATAAAATTTTAAAAAACATAAATTTTTTTTCTTGTAATTTATAGGTACGGTTACATTGATATGTGAAGTAAACTCTATTAATATTAGAAAAACACTTCAAAACAGTGTGAACAACAGTAACATTTTTAATCTGCATACAAAAATAAATAAAATTTTAAAAAATATGATTTTTTTTGTATTTTATATATATGCTTTACACTGAGTAATGCAGATTTTTTTTTTCTTGAAAGAAAAAAATTGTTCCACAAAAATATATCCATCTTTGAAACATCAGCAATAAACATAAATGAAACATGCAAGTGATCATGGGTACTTTTATTACAATGGATAACTAGCTATTATCTGTAAATCACAAGAAGAGTCCAGATTAGAATAGTCATTATATTTGACTAAAGCTTTGACTAGTTATGCAACATTCGTAATGATTTCATGACACTCATAAGCAATGGAGTCCTTGCTAATTATTTTTTCTTTCTCATTTCAGATGAGTTCACATTAAATAGCCAAAAGCTACATTTTCCTTTTTGACTTAAAATAAAAATTCCGTTTTGATCGGAGAAGCAGTTTAATGAAATAATTTTAGGGAAGTGAAATAAAATCTATTGCATGGCTGCAGATACCCAATCGGAAGAACTGGAGACTTTGTGATAGATGCCCGGCTGATAACTCTTGGCGCAGGAGTAACCGGCCGAAACAATGCCGATCAAATACCAGACGTTGTTATCTTCCATCATGAGCGGACCACCAGAGTCACCCTAAAATAGAACATTCAGTTTTACAGTCATTGCGAGAAAATAAATTCTATTTATGGGCTTTATTTACAATCTTTTACTACTTATATTTGCTTCATTTATAATCTACAGTACTTGCCCACCAGAATTATCGCTGTGATAGAATTCAATGAACTGGATACGACTCGTTGATTCATCGCTGTTTTGTGAGAAGCCGGGAGAGCTGTATTAAGATCACTGTACTTTTGAGTGCTGATTGTGAGAGCTGTAATAAGTTCAGGGTCGTGGTTTNCAAAAAAATCACGAACCCTGCTTTTGAGTGCTGATTGTGAGAGCTGTAATAAGTTCAGGGTCGTGGTTTCTCCCGTGTTGCCCTCAGCAGTCGAGTATGTACAGGCCGACGTTCTGTGTGATCGAGACCGAGTAGCAATAGCGCGAGAAAGTGGATAATGTAGCAGTCACAAACAGCAAGTCAACTGTTCAATGCGGACCATCCAATGAAGAACGTGTGTTCAAATCGAAGTGGGAGTTTCTGTCGAGGTCACCAACGTGGGGAGAATAGATGTGACAATGTCAACCTTAATCTATGAAAAGGTACCCCACTATAGAATCGGCGGTAGATACATACACTGTAGTGGTAGATACACTACAACAAAGATGTTGATTTTGTTCTATTTTTACAGCAGAAAGGATAGTACTAGAAAGTTCAACCTAAAAAGAGTTTGAAATGGCATTCTAGTGTTGCAGGGCAATAATGAAGGGAATTTCAATGCAAGATAAGTATTGCTGAGCTGATATTTCAACTTTTTTACAATAAATTTACATTTAAATAAAAGTGGATATAACGGATGGTAAAATAATTTAAATTAAAAGAAAAATTCCAGCTTTTCTTTGAAATTCCTTGATTTGTCCAGGTTTTTATCCAAATTTCCCTGACTTTTCCAGGTTTTTTCCAGCATAAAAAATTCCCTGATAATTCCTGGTGGGTGGGCACCCTGTTTTTATAGAGTAGCCATATTGCTTAAAAGAATGTTTACCTGGCAAGCATCTCTTCCGCCAAATTCATATCCTGCGCACATCATCTCATCATGGATCCGGATGTTTATACCCTGCTTTCTATGCCACGTCTCACACACTTTATTCTCAATCACGGGCACCCCCACGTACTGCAGCACTTTGGGACGTAGTTTAGAACCTACAATTCAGAGAACATAATTAGCAAATAATGGTGTACTAAAGATCCATAATTTTTAATGAAACTTCAGAAATCCATATGTGAGGTGATGTAAATGAAATGAGTTAAGTGAACATAAGCAATGCCCCTGCAAAGGATAGAAAGAAACATCCACAATATCTACCTATGAGGCAAATTTTTATTTAGCATAGCGAATTGCTCTGACAGTTACTTTCTTCTTATATACAGTAACATAGTCAAAAATGCAAAACTCTTTATTATAGTAAGAACTTGTTAATTAGAATTCCTGTCAAATTAGCCTAATTACACAGATAAATACAAAAAATTGTATTTTTTTTTATTCAACTCATAAAGAAAACATTATCCAAATTTTAATTTCATAACTTTATAGAGAGTGAAGACTCTCTATAAAGAAATGTTACTTTAGGGTGCATTGTCTTATTCAGGGGTCTGTCTAGGTTTTTCTGAGAGGTACCTATTTTGTGAAAATTTAGACATAATTTGTGAAANTTATTAATTGGCATAAAATAATAAAAGAGCTCCATTATTAAATTGCAAGTTAATTAAAAGTATTTGTAACAGAGGGGACAAATAAAATCCCACATTTTCGACATGTACTGTTATTTATGCTAAATTCTGTGATTTGGACCATCCTTAAACATTATCAGCAATTTTTTTTCAAAATCACAACATTTCAAGGTAAAATAAATTATTATAAGACTTTTAAAAAAAAAAGAATTGCAATTTTTAAAGTCCAAATAATGCATCGTAACATATAGGACATGGAATGTAACAGGAGGGGATATCTTACAAATTTGTCAAAAAGTTAAAGGGAAATATCACTGTTAAAAGTGACTCTCCGGTTATTTAAAGTTGGAGTTGGCAGCACTGCTATACCAGTGCTGCCTCTTTCTACTGATGTTTTAAAGTTTTTATTTTACCAGACCATGTTGAAAAATTTTGCATTGCTTGTTTCTTTCTCAATTTCAGTTATTTGGTAACAAAATTAATTAACCCAATTTTTTTCTAGAACTTTTTACACTTTCAAAACTATCTATTGCAACATCAAAAAAAAATCTCAGTTTTTTTAAATGGTGACACTGGTGTGCATTTAAATATGCTGGGTCAGAAAGTCCTCCAAGTTCCCAAAACAAATCAATACCGCTGGGGGTACTGATTGAGGAGTTCCCTTGTCTTTTGGATTGGGTTCAAAATGACAAGGCTACAGAGTTGAACATTGGTAGCCGTAAACTTTAATTTGGGACGGCTGTTTAATGATGGTTATAAAATAAAAAGTCACTTGAGTGATTGTCACATGTATTTAGCAATTCTATGTAATTATTAGGCAAGCAATTGATTTTAATATTAAATTCACATTTTAATGAATAGCACATACACACTTCATATGGTGTTTTACCTACGCATAAAATATGGATAGGTCGTAGTATAGCAAACATAGATTTGAATCTGCTTTGGATGAATCTGCTTTGATATTTGATATGCTTCAGTCAAGGTGTACATTTGGCTTTATGGACTTTCTGTCCATTTTCTTTGACAACCATGCACTTAGTTCTATCAGAAGTCTGGTAAGAAAGTTTATCAGATGAGTTGAAACTTTTTACATGTTTTTTTTTTTTTTTTTTTTTTTTTTTTTTTTTTTTTTTTTTTNGAAACTTTGTTATTAGGCTATTTCTTTTGTTTTGGTAGTAAGGTTACAGAGTATGCGTAGAATAGCACAACGTTTTCTTGCAGATACAGGTAATGCATGGTTTGCCTTTTTAATAGCTTTCCCCAATGTCTAAGGAATATTATACAGAGAATATCCTTTCTGAATTTCTACTGCTTGTATCCGTGCCTTTTTATTTTTCCTTTGTCTTCTTTTTTTTCAATTTGTCTATTTCTCTGTTAAGGTTTTTTTCCCCTTCAAAATACTTCAGTTATCATAGATTTTCATTTTATATCTTTTATCTTTCTTCTTACAAATGTCTCTTTTTTTTTGGAGTATTCTAAATCTATATTCTCTCATTCTTTCTTCTGCTGTTTTTGCCATATTGAGTACTCACTTAAAAAACTTTTAACTATAAACAAAACACGCCATTAAATAAAAATGGCACAGCTTTGTATAAAAAGTGTGCTTTAATAGTTGTAGAACTGGTTTAAGCTAGTTGAGTCAGGATGCATTAGCACTTGTTTACAATCCTAGAGTTCCTTTTTAATGGTCAACCTATCAATTTTGTGAAACTGAGGGGACATTTAGTTTTGTCCCCCCTGACATATGAGAATTTTATTACAAAAATATAACATAACTTTAGATATAGAATTAGATATTAGAAAAATATATAATAGACTTTATTGTAAAAACCAAACATTAAGTGAAAAGCTTTCTTGTGCAATGAATAAAATGAACTTAAAAGAATAATTATAACAGAGACAAATATATATTTAAGATAATTTTTGACTAAAAAACATCGCTGCATAATTAGATTTAGGAACAATTATAATATAAATCAAACTATATGTAAAATCGCAATATTTTTAATGACTTCTTTAACAGGGTTCCCCCACTCAATTTTTAAAAAAAAATTCAATGACTTTTAAGCATCTTTTTCAACGACCGTATTACAGTTATATGCTAAAACATAGTACATGTCAACCAAATTTTACAATTACGTAGAAGCAGAAATTGTATATTTTTAAAGTACAATACTTATTTGACAACAAAAAAAGATTTATTAAATTTATCAGCTAATAATACAAATGGTTGATAGTTACATTCCTGCTTCAAATCACCTTAAAAAATTCCAATTGACAAAAAAAAAAAAAAAAATCCAATTCACATACGAATGATACTAGCCAACATTTAAAAACTAGCACCAGCGAAACTTCATGAAAAATTTAATGAAGTGAATTAATGAAATTGAGTGAAAGAATAATGCATATTACATTAAACAAGTACAGTAAATAATTGATAAAGTTTGTGTGATTGTACGGTTATTAAAATATAAATATTTTTTTTAAAATGTTAGATCAAATTTTAGGTTACGGAAAATGTATATAATTAGATAAAATATCAAAATATATCCATTTAACATATCTGCTTCAATTTTAATAACAAATGATCTATTTTGTTACTTCAGAATATCAGTAATGTATTTTGAACATAAAAAAATCTATTGCAGAATAATATTTTACAGATGACTAAGACTTATCAAGCTTTATTTTCTTTAAAATATATCCATAAAATGTGAAGCGTGATTTTTAATATTTTGTGATTATGCATAATTTTCACTAAGCATAATTTTTAAATCGCATTTATACGAATCTAGATATACTATATGTAAATCAAAATTATAAAAAAGGTGAAGTGAGTCTCGAAGATTACATATCACAATGTGTGATTAGTAAATTGAAATTGAAATGCGGTGTATGTTTCTTAAATCAGAACAATATGAATAGCAAATGAAACAAAACACACGAACTAACAAGATGTAAATCACAATATGTGATACATAAATCAATTTAATGTGAATAGTGATCATTATGATGTAATTTGCAATTCGAAAGGTGCTTAATATAGAGCAGCTATGTGTGATTCTTAAATCATTTTGATGAGAATTGTGGGTGGTAATTCTTAAATCTCTCTTTTGTGAATCGCAATGCGTGATTTGTAAACTACTAGAATTAGAATTGTGAAGCATGATTCTGAAATTACTTAAATACGCATCACGTTATATGATTCAGAAATAACTTCAATGTGAATCATGATGTGTGATTTATAAAATACCTTAATACGAATTATGATGAGTAATTTGCAAATCACTTTTAGGTAATATTCGATATGTGATCCATTAATCACTTTCATTTAAATCGCAATTCGTAGAACATTTTATATGAATTCCAATCCGTAAATCAAGAATCAGTTTAATGTGAATCACAATATTTATTCATGATCAATGAAACNTGAATAGTGATCATTATGATGCAATTTGCAATTCGAAAGGTGCTTAATATAGAGCAGCTATGTGTGATTCTTAAATCATTTTGATGAGAATTGTTAGTGGTAATTCTTAAATCTCTCTTTTGTGAATCGCAATGCGTGATTTGTAAACCACTAGAATTAGAATTGTGAAGCATGATTCTGAAATTACTTAAATACGCATCACGTTATATGATTTAGAAATAACTTTAATGTGAATCATGATGTGTGATTTATAAAATACCTGAATACGAATTATGATGAGTAATTTGCAAACTACTTTTAGGTAATATTCGATATGTGATCCATTAATCACTTTCATTTAAATCGCAATTCGTAGAACATTTTATATGAGTTCCAATCCGTAAATCAAGAATCAGTTTAATGTGAATCACAATATTTATTCATAATCAATGAAACCTGTAGTTAAATTTCATTTATTAGCAGTAAAAACTAAATGTAAAAATTTGATTATAAATGATAAAAAATTAATTATCCTTCGTATATAAATTAAAAGAACAAATAGGATATAAATATTAACCAGTCGTAATAATGAAATTAACACACTGAACATATTTCTAAATTAATTAAACATTATATATCATTCAAAAACTCTGACTACAAAACAAAACTTAAAATTTGCTAGAAATTTCAGCTTTCAAAACATCAGAGATGAACAATAATCTGGTGTGAAAAATCTAGGAGAGAAAAGTTTTGCATCTTCTTTAACTCCTTTTCACTTCAAGCATTAAAAATTGCATTGATTAGAATTTCAATAACCTTCCTTTGAATTTATTAATTACTTTTTACCCCTTATTTGTAAGAAAGATTAGTATTATTTTGAATCCTAAAAAATCAAGTACTTTTACCTATGGCAGAATTCATTTACTTTTCAGGGCCCTGATTTTTTTCAACAAAATTCAAGGACTTTCAAGTACCGTGGGAACCCTGTTTAAAATAGTTATTTTGGTAAAATAAGTCAAAATCAAGTTAGTTATAATAAATTTTACTATAATCATGTATAACTCTAAAAAATAACTTTTGAATTCACGAATTACAACAAATTTCCTTTAAAATGGTACCAAATATAAGGATATTGCTTAAACTTTAAAAATTCACTACTGGTTTCAGTTGGCATGGAATTCAACAACCTTTAAGTACCTTTTAAGCACTCAAAAATATTTCTAAGCACTATACACATTAACAAAATGCAAAATAATTTTCAAAGATTTTTCATAATCACAATAAAATAACTAGTTTCTGACAGAGAACTCCTTTCTTGATTATATTAGCCATTATAAAATGCTCAAGAGATTTTTTGGTTCGATATCTGAGGGTGGAAAAAGAAGACTGAAATTGAGAACACAAAAGAGTTGCACATAAAAGTGCAATAATCTCACTGAACCCAGCTCAGTAGACACACATGCAGACTCGCAAATATTTCATCAAACATGAAAAATGATTGGCGCTTTCATATGCTATGGACCGACAGTACGTTGAAATGGAATGTGGTCGAATGAATTGTGAAAATGTTGAATAGAACAATGTGAAAAGCACGCTTTTGCATAATACGTGGCAAAAATCAAAATGGTAAAAAAAAATTTTTTTTTCGAAAATGGAAAATGTAAGCACTTTTTAAAAACACCCAATGGAAAAAGTACCTTTAAAGGCTTTTAAAAAACGCAAATGGAAAAGAAGCACCGTTAAGCACTTTTTAAAAACGCTACACACCATGTATTAAAATGAAATTAGAAATACTTGTATATTTTAACTAAGCACTTATCTTGAGTTAAGAAAACTTTCTTAGTGAAATAAGATATTTATGTGAAAGAAAACAAACCTGGTTCCAAAGCACCCCACCCGGCTGCATATGCAGTTTTTCCCAAGAAGTCAGTTCCTTTTCTGGGTATGCATATGGGTCTGATGTTTTCCCTATAAGGTGCCGGTCGATCGAGTACCACCACCGCCACATCATACCTGTCAGCTTGAGGAGTGAACCTGAAATTCGGGTGAAGCCGGACTTCCGAGACACCAAATATTTCGGCCGGCAAGCTTTCCACATTAGAATGTAACACATAATCTCCGAGGGTCACCCGAATATTTCCAGGCTTGTGCTGTGATCTGAAAACAAATAGAACATTAAGTAACACTTACTTGAGTAAACATTAATGATGCATTCCAATAAATTTATGTCCTTATAAATCTAAATCATTGATATTTTCACAACATGAAATTTTAAATAAATTATACGCAGCATAATTTAAATTAATAATTATGCATAAGTTAACTTTAATCTCTAATCACATGTATTATTCTTCCAGAAAAAATATTTACAAATGAAAGAGATGCCAAGTATAAATTCTAGTTCTGATATTTTTAAATAAAATATACAAGAATCCTTATACATAAATGCGATCGATGATTTCTCGAAACTTCTAGACCTCGGATTTCCGGATCTGCAAAAATTGCCCAGACATAGAGCTAACCTCCAAACATCTTTTCAACTGTCTCGCTATACTAGCACAATTGCAGCAAATAAGTGACAATCTGTGGGCGGACTTATGTGAAGAAAATTGCCTTCAAATTGCAGATGTTTTATATCGGACCTTTGATCACATTTAAAATTATTTTCTGTCCATGACACGACACCAGCTACACACACACACACATATATAATACATATATTATACATATATATATGTATTATATATATATATATATATACATATACATAAATATATACAGTCGAACCCCGCTGTAGTGAACCTGGGATATAGTGAATTTTTTTAGCGGTCCCGTCCGTACTCCTATTTAAATAACATTATTTTTAAAGCTTATAGTGAACAGCTTAGAACTTGGAAACTCGGTTATAGTGGACTCAAATTTCATTTCTTTAAATATCTTTTTCAGTCCTCCATCTTTAAACTTGCAGGTGTTGGGACTGAAAATGAATGCATTCCTATACAATGAGTCATATTTCACTCCTTTATGCTTATCACTTTTAACTATACTGTAATAAATGTCAAACATTTTATCTTATACTCCCCCCTCTCTCTTTGTCGCTTTTCCCCAAGCTTGCTCTACAACTAGTTAACTTGGCCACCTGGTGAATTTTTGGAATTTTCTTATCTGTTCAAACCATATTCTTTACAAATCACCCCTTGACAACCAAGAAGGTGAACAATTTAACTCATTCTACAGCTGCTCTCTTCATATTCTTACATTATCTATTTGAGACAAGATTTTTATTACGAAAGCAGTGAAAATGGCGAATTCTCTAAAAGCGTTTTCGATAGAAGACAAAGTTAAAATTATAAAGCGTATTGAAGATGGAACTAATCAATCGGCACTCTGTAAGGAATCTTCCTTGTCAAAATCTACAGTTTCAAGCATTTGGAAAAATCGAAGTGCAATTTTTGCCGCATACGACAAAAATATGGTTTCCTCAAAAAAACTGGGTGGAGCTGAAAGAGAAAACGTAGACGAAGCTTTGTTAAAATGGTTCACCACTCAGCGTGATCGAAATCTTCCTGTGACAGGACCTATGCTTCAAATTAAAGCTAATGAGTTTGCTGAAAAATTAGAGGATAAGGATTTTGTGTGCTCCAATGGATGGCTGGATAGATTCAAAAAACGGAATAATATTTCTTCAGGAAAGATTATTGGAGAAGAAGCGAGTGTTGATGCAAGGGATGTGGAAAACTGAAGTGTGGTCGAATATTATACAGAATTATGAAGAGAAAGACATTTTTAATGCTGATGAAAGATGGACTATTTTACAAATTGATTCCCAATCAGACGTTAAAATTTAAAGGAGAAAAGTGCACCAGTGGGAAACTTTCCAAAGTGAGAATAACAGTTTTTGCTTGTGCTAACATGAACGGCTCGGAAAAGCGAAAACTAACTGTCATAGGTAAATCTAAAAAACCAAGGTGCTTTAAAAATTTTAAAAAACTGCCCACAAACTACAAAGCCAATCAAAAAGCATGGATGTCCTCCCATTTTCTTGAAGAAGAGCTTCGACAGTGATTTATTAAAAGTAAATCGTAAAATTGTTTTTCTTCTAGACAATTGCACAGCTCACCCCCATTTAAAAAGTCTAAAGTGTATTAAGCTTGCATTTTTACCACAAAATACAACTTCTGTGTTGCAACCCACGGACCAGGGTGTTCTTCGCAGTCTCACTATAAGAGACAATTAGTTATGGGTATTTTAGATAACTATGATTAAAACAACATGAACTCAGAATGCAACATCTTTCTTCTAAAAGCAATAGTTTTGCTAGAAAAATCATGGAGGCAAGTAACATCAGCTACAATCCGCAACTGTTTCCGACATTAGGTTTTTCAAAGGATTTAGAAGAAAAAAGATTCCAATGTGGAGGAAGAAAATTTACCTATCTCTCTATGGCTAAAAAGACATGGAATGGACATTTTCCCAAGGACGTTATTGAGCAATATGAATGTTGCAATGATGAAGTATGCACTTCTGGTACTCCTACCGATGATGACATAGTCAGTGAAATAAAACAAACGAACAAAGGTAGAGAAGACTTAAATGTTGAAGAAAAAAATGAACTTTCAGCACCATCTATAGCTGAAGCAAAATCAGCCATAAATGTCATTAATATGTTTTTTTCTACAGAAAATGTTGATCAAAAAAAAAATCTTGCATTCTTTGCACATTGTAGATAAGAAAATTGATGAACTCTATTAAAAATCAAATTGTGTTCAATCAAAAATCACAAATTTTTTTCATAAAAAGTGAAATTAAAACTAATATTTAGCGAAGTAAGTCCTTTTTTCATTAATTTTTGATTTACTATCAGTTTATTAGTTAATGATTTTTTAAATAAATTATATAAAATTGCAAACCCAATTTTCAATCATTCAACTGTCTTATGCAAAAAATATTCTTTAAAAAATTTGATATAGTGAACCATCGGTTATAGTGGACACATTACTAAGTTCACAGATGGTTCACTATAGCGGGTTCGACTGTATATATACATAAATATATATACATATACAACAATCATTATCAGAAAATTAAGATAATTTAAATGCATTCAAAAACATGAAATTAGATGAATCAAATGTCCACGAACAGTAGGGTGTCCTGAAAAGTCATTCAATCAAATATTTTTAAGCACATTAACAAAATAATTTTCAAAGACTTTACATGATCATGATAAAATAACTAGTTTATGATTACAAAATGATCGAAAGATTTTTCAGTTCGATATCAGAGGGTGGAAAAGGAAGTCTGAAATGTAGAATCTCTTGCAAAATGTAGTAGAGTTGTAGATGAGAGTGCAATAATCTCATTGAATCCAGTTAAATAGACTCACAAGTATTTCTTCCAATGAAAATGATTTGGGTTTTCATACGCCATGGAAGCCAAAAAGGATTGTTGTTGAATGAATAGTGAAAACGTTGAAAAGAATAATGTGAAAACCCCGCTTTTGCATAATAAATGGCGAAAATCAACATGGTTAAGAAAAAAAAAACCTAATTTTCGAAAATTTAAAATTAAGCACTTTTTCAAAACACCCAATAATAAAAGCACCTTTAAGGGCTTTTAAATAACAAAAATCGAAAATTATCATCTTTAAGTACTTTTTAAAAACACTATGCACCATGTTACTTGTGTGGAAAAAGCAGGAAATCAATTTTCTAGAACTTATTTTGTTTTGGTAAGCTAGTTGGTGTACAGTTTGAAAATTTTTTTTATTTTACTTTTTTTTTTAGTTTTAGGTATTTTTATTCATTTTCAAAGTTGATCAACAAATAGATCTTCCTTAATTTTAAGAGTCAAATTTTCTTAATTACAAATTACAGAAAAAAAAGTGCAACAGAACAAAGGAAACAAAACAAATATGAAAAATGAAAGTTGTTTCAGTCCTTTAAAAAAACATTTAAGTTCATCATTTATCGTGGAATAATATAAAATATAAAAGTAATCACACATACACGTCATATTATGATCGACTTTGCCACTAGTTTTCAAATGACTGTGACCGGCCAATTTTAAAAAACAAATTCTTAATCATTGAATTTCATAATAAATTACTCATATTGTGTGCGCCAAATTAATTTCCAAAATTCCAATTTTTAAATGATTCAGATATAATACATAGTTGCCAACATGGATAGTAAAAAAAACCAGTACATTTTACTAAATAATATAGATTTCATGATAATTGTTGCATTAAATATTTTACACAAAGGGAATTTTAGAGATTTTTCTATTTAGATTACTGCAATATTTTCCAATTATGATTGACATTAAGCATACTTGAAATATAATGTGTTTTTCTTTAGATGCCTCTAAAATTCGTGTGTAAAAGATTTTTTTAAATTTATTTAAAAAGATAATTCTGGGTAAACTGAACATTTTATAAGAAAAAACAGTCTTGACCTGATTTCTAAAAATGAGGTTCATTTCATTATGTATTAGTAATAGTTATTTAAATATTGAAGCAAGCAATTATCTGTACAAAAATACTATTTCATTCAGAATTTCTAATTTTCTAAAATGTACAAAAACCAGGAGAATTTTAATTAAACCAGTAGAGTTGGCATCTACGATAATATAAACTTACATGTAAAACTAAATACCCTGTCACCAGCCGGCAAATAAAAATATGTTACATGATTTAGCAAAGCAGCATAGCTTCAAAGCAGTTCATGCAAAGCAGCAATCTAACAAAAAAATAGGATTAAAAAAAACTATTTTTATATTTGATAGTAATTTGAAGAAGAAAAAAAATTGGTATGTACAGTAATATTGTGCAAGGCTTTGATTCGCATCTAATATTCAATTAAAATAAATCTAATTAAATTTGACGTAAAATGATTAAAGTTTGAAAGCAACACTAGTTATGATTATTTTAAATATTATTGAAAAGTGGCTCTAAATTATTTGGGGTAACTTATAAATCATAACACACTGATACATACTTACCTAGCGACACAATGTCCAGCAGTAACAACAAATCTTCGCCCGACGAGAGCCCCACCGCATCGACTACCGCCAACTTGAATGACAGCCTACATTACAATCATTCATTTTACAGGCATTTAAAAAACAAACATTTAATCATTAGGTATTTCAATAGTATAATATAAATTATGAAATTAAAATGAAGAGAACTATTAATGCATAAACAGGGTGGCACTTCAAATCAGATTTCAAATTTTCTTGATTTTTCTAGGTAAGAATCTTAAAATTTCCAGGTCTGTGTATTTTTTCCCCTCATAGAGTATAGGATGGGTACAAGATAAGTGTTAATGTTATAAAGTATTTTATTTAAAAGGTTATTTTTCTCAATATATGCATCTTGAAAGAAAAATTAGACTAAATTTATTTTAACAACTTACATAGAATAAATTGTTTCTGTTGAAAAAAATGTTTTAACGTGTTACTTTAAGTACTTTTTGTACTAAGTGGCAAATAGAGTGACCATAAAAAAAACCAAGGATAATTATCGTTTAATATATTTTCATTAAGTGAAAGAAAATAATTCTAAATGATTCGACAACAATAAATTTTTATATTTATTTACATTTCACTATAAAGCCATTTTATACTGTATTTCATATTAAAAAAATTCATTGTTCATGTTTTCTTTAAACCAATATCTTAAGTTAAATGTTTAAATAATGTTATTTGTTTTGAATTAGCATTGTTATTAAAGAGATATTTGTCATTTAAAAAGGAATTTTGCAAATGTAATTTCTTGTAGCACACTCTATGGAAACAACTAGATAAAATTCTTTGCATTTTATTTTTTTCTTATTTGAAATTAAAATCTCTAAAGAATTCCAATCTAACTACATGCTTTTTAAGTTTAGATTAGTTTATTACTGCTTTTACAACTAGAAACCTTGACAGTGCAGAAAAAACAAAGCTTAGTTTTCCTTCTTCCCAATAAACACATATGAATAAAAATATTTTTATATATGTTTATACATCATTTAACATGTTTCCCATACATTCCTTAGTTTTTACCAGCTTTCTAAGGTAAAAGGAGAAACAATTTCGGAAATATCATCACTGGAATGCAAGCAACATTTACGAACTTTCGACATTGTGGTTGCTGCACAATTCGGATTTTGAATCAAAAATCAATGCTTTGCCAACAAAACAGTAAAATTAAATGTAAACACATAGTTGGTTCTTAAAGGAACAAAAAAAAAATTACAATATATGTGTCATAAAAGGTTAAAATGAAATTGAGAAAATTAGCAACAATTGTAATGACTTGTAGACTAGCAATTGTAAGCAATGTGTGATTGATAAGCTTCGCTGAGAAAAATTCACAGATTTCATTGGATGGGAGTACATACACGCTTTCAGAAAAAGAGTGCAATATAAAATCTATTTTTATTAAATTATAACCAACTATCTTTTGGAGAATTTAATAACGTTAAAAACACTAAAACATTTTGTCAAGAGAAAAAAAATACGTCCCAAGCATCGGAACAAACTTTGATAAATGGATTTGCCCATGGACTAGAAGAAGAAGAAAAAATCCTACATCTATAAACAAAAGCAAATATCCTTTTTTCCACCTGCACCACAATCTTTGCCATTCTCAAAAAAAAAATAATAATAAAAGTTAAATTTTTGAACAAGAAACAGGACGAAGACAAGTTTTTGTTTAATTTAAAAAGTTTATTATTATTTTCAATCCTTATGCAAAAACATATTTATTATTAAATTTATAATTAATTATTATTTATCCTTAAGCAAAAACATAATTTATTAGTATAAAAAGCATGTTTAAGGTATTCACTTTTGTTGTTCAATGAATTGTGGAGCTTTGAAAGTTAAATATTTTATTATTTTCCTAATACATATATTTCTTTTCCCCTTAATAAGTAAAAACAAATTGTATAAAAAGTATCAAATATTGATTAATATATGTAACTATCATGTGTACAATGGTTAAACATATAGAATTTTTACCTTTTAACAATGTTCTGGGTTTTGGACAGTTTTAGTCAGTTTAGGGCAGTTTAAGACAGTAGAACCCACGTGTCATATTCAAAACCAGTTTAGGATGTCCAAAACCAGTTTAGGACGTCCAAAACACCAACCCTGTTTAACAAGCATGAGAGAGTTTCAAGAGGTATTCTAGCTAAACAGAGTTATAATGGAGCAAATTTTGATACAAGCAAAGCATTGCTAAGTTGATGATATTTCAACTGTTTGGAGATAAATTTCCATCTAAAAAAAGTGGATAAAACGAATGGCCAAATAATTTGAATTAAGAAAATTAGTAAACAATTGAAACTAGTGAAATTGAGAAAATAGGAGAAAAAAATATCGTGATAATTCCAGGTTTTCAAGATGGGTGGCCACCCTAATAACATTTTCAGCACACTGTACATTGTCAGGACATTTATACATACAAGTTCATTAGTTGTACACCTGGTGGAAGACCAACTCAATCTGCAATACTTTTTTAGTGAATTCATATTTGTCTGTGATTACTAAAACACTATTATAGTAATAGGTGGGCTTAAAGCAAGGCTAATAAAAATTTAACACACAAAATATTATGTTGGCAAGAATTGACATTGAAATTTTACGCAACACTTTACCAAAAATAACAATAATCTACAATACATCCTTAGAAAAAAAAAATTTTAAAAATTGAAGAATAATTTTTTAAAACATTTCTAATAGATTTTTTGTAGTTTTTTTCCCGTCATTAATTTTCAGTTAAAAGAATTGATTTTAAAACTTGAAAATCAATTCTCTTTAACTAACCCACGAACTGCTTTTTTTTTTTTTTGTTTCCGATCATAAAATTTTCTGGTCAGTTCAGAAAATCTTTGCATATGCAAAGGGAGTGATTCCAATTTATAGCTCTTAAGGCATATTCTTTTTTGTTGACAGATTTCAAAAGGGAAAAATTGTTTTTCACCAAGAAAAAACTTTTCAGCACTTCTCTCAATTTTTCTGAACAATTTTTCAGTATCATCTCCCCTTTATCCTAAATCTGAGAAGTAAAATAGTCTGTAAAACCCTCTACCATGCTACCAGGATCACACATTTTAAAATATACATTAAAATACATAACATAGTTAACCATTATCACAATATATATATATAAACTGAACATTTNTAATATCCAATTTCTACTCTTCTACTTTGGTTTACTATATCCTCAAAAAATAATATTATATGTGTACAGCAAGGCACGGGAGCAAACATTTCATTCACTATAAACCATGCTCACTATGCAGGGTTTGACTGTGTGTATATATATATTATTGAATTTGTTTTTTAAAAATGTATAAGACAGGGTGCGTAGCCAAATCTTTGAATCAAAAATAAGCACTTTTTAAAAACTTTTTAAGCACTTTACAAAAATATTCAAGCACTCAAAAAATTCATATTCAATCAATGATATTATTGAAAAACAAAAACTTTTTATAAACAGTTTTAGCGTTAAAAAAAAAACCCCCCAAAAAAACGGGCGTAAATTGAAAAAATCAGTACTTTCCCACATCACTGAGTGAATTCAACTTGACCCTGCACTCAGAACAAAAGTACCCTTACCCCCTACGTCAAAAAAAGTGTTAGAAGTAAAATAAAATAAACAAGAACAAAATTAAAATAAATTAAAAAGAAAAACATTTCATAAGGATCTGATATTCTTTATCCGAATTGGAGCACTCGGGTTTCAGTTTCAAGTGTGTGCGCATGCGCAAGTCATACCGTGGGTACGACATGAAGTCCGCATGAATGATTACGTAGCAAACTCTCCTTTTTTCGTGAAATGCATGGGATCCACCAGATATCACTGAAGGGAAAAACAATTACTCGAAAAAAAAGCACTTTTTAAAAACGCCAGCTGAAAAAAGCACCTTTAAAAGCTTTTAAAAACGAAATCCCCAAAAAAGCACCTTTAAGCACTTTTTACAAACGCTACGCACCCTGTCACTATGCAGGGTTTGACTGTGTGTATATATATATTATTGAATTTGTTTTTTAAAAATGTATAAAAATACAAATACATTTGAAACATGTTTTTGATTTTAAAAAAATAAAAATTATTAACACGGGGAGAAATTATTATTGTCTCTGCCGCTTTCATTATTAGATTCAAAAATTGCCAAATGCAGAGCCTGCTATTGCATTCTTTATTAGAAACCTGCAAATTGCAGGTGAACTACAGAACAATAGCTTTAAAACAGTGTCCTGCAAATTATATTTACTTCCAAGTAAAATAATGAACATGGAAAAATCTTCACAAATGAATATTTGAATACTTTGGGACACCAAATAGTTAAAATTATCTTTACCTTTGATTCTTTCTGAGCCCTTAGAAAAACACAGCAGCAAAAAAAAAAAATTATTCTAGCATTACTACTATACATGTGCTTTAAAAAAAAAGAGAAAAGAAAATGAATATAAAACATTTTGTGTAAATGCTTTTGGGTATTTAAATTTTAATTTATAATCTAGTTTTGTAAACCATTTCACTATAGAAAATGTTGTTAACCAGCTTAAAGTAAAACCAAGCTTTAATAAATAATTATGTTAGAAATGAAAACAAGTTATAAGATTACCTGCCAAGGAAATTGTCCAAAGTATGCATCATTACCGCCAACTATTCTACTCGTTCTGGTCGCACTTCTTCCACAATCTTCAAAAGTACAATGAAACAAATTGAATTTCGTTAAAAAAAAACAAACATAACTTTATAAGATTAGACTCTTAACATTGGACCTTAATGCAATGCAAAACTACTCCAATCCCCTGTGGCAAAATCACAGCGACATTGTCGCAGAAGGTTACAGAGTTCTTGGAGAAAGATTTTTCATTTGGGAAATAAAAATTTTTTTGCCTTTCTTTTCTGCAGAAATTTTCAAAAGATTTTATGTTTTCTACAGAATTACATTTAAAAGATGCCTTTCTCGTGCATCAGAGTGGAAAAAGCTAATGATTTTTCTATTATCATTTGAGAATAACAAAGAATAAAGTATAATGAAGTAAAAAATTCAGTATTTCTTTCTGCAGAAATTTTCACTTTATTTTTTCCTGCGGTTATTACTGCTGAATTACAAGCTTTTAAAATCCATTTTTTTTTAATACGATATTATTTATTACAACAACTGAATATCTCAAAATGCATTTAATAACCCCTTTGGAAGAGCCAATTTGCTGTTGATCTCCTTTATGGTAGTTACTGCTACGGATTTCATGATTTTTTAATGTGATGATGAATTACAAAACAGTGACAGCGCGCACGGCGCGCTCTAGTTTAGTAGGTAGCGGATGAGTTCGAGAACAGTCGAGCCATATTCTACATACATACGCGGCGTGCGCACCGTCACTGTTTTGTTTATATCTTTCGAACAAAGTGTCTTACCATTCCAAAAATTTGGAATTAATATCATTATTGATTATACTTCACACTGTCGAAATATTAAAAAAATCAAAGATGTCCAAATTGCAAAAAAAAGTTGTTTTTTCAAAAAATGAATTTTTTTATGTCAAAAACAAAAAATTTTATATTTTAATGTTGATTTTCTTAAAGTTTGAGAAAAATCACTTCAAGAAAGTGTATTTAAGTATTTTTGTTGTTGGATGGCACTACGTTAAAAAATAACTTGCAAAGCCGTGTGCTCAAAAAAGCGAAATTTTCAAAAATTTGTATAGTCACAAATATGCAATTTAAACAAAAACGCAAAAATATGTGTCGATTTATTTTCAATAAAGAACAATAAAATAAAATTATATCATTTTTGCATCATAGGTGTAAATTTTGTATGGATTGCCCCATACACTCTAATTTCTTGACAGATTTGAATTTTTGACCATTAAAATATCAGAAGGCAGTAGTCCTAGCCCAATAGTTGTGTTCTCCCTACAAAAAAAAAGAAGAGTTTCCTCTCTGAAAAGAGCACTTTTGAGTTTTGTAACTTATCATAGATATTTATCAAAATGCGGAATATGAATGCAAATGTGTAATATATGTAATAAATATCACAGATATTCAGTGTTTTCACTACAGCGCGAGAACGCGAGAATCTCGCATATTTTTTTCTCTTCTCGCATTAAAAAATGATTACCGCGAGAAATTCGCGTATTCTATAAATTAATTTCAAAATTCGCAAAATTCTCGCATTTTGGAAAAAGTTTCGAATTACGTCATTTAGAATAAAATCCGTTTCACTTTTCTTCCTGGATCTTCATTATTTTCAACACTTGCCCCGTTATCTAGCTTCCCTATTTACCAGTAGGTATTGTTCAGAACCTTTTCGAACAACAGAACACAACCCCTCCGAACCACGGAACCCCTTTCAGAACACATTTCTCTGCAACCACGTGTTTACTGTAGGTATGGTTTTTCATGTAAGACGTTCAAATTTTTTTATGCACTAATGTAAGATGGACAAATACCTAGTAAAGGCAAAATCTTCTATGATGATGCAGCAAAAATATTCAATGCTTTAAAAAATAGAAGACGTTAAAAATGTATTATAACAAAAGAAATTTTTTTTCCAAGTCTATTTGTATTTTTTCAGTTTTTAGAAATCTCACTTAACTTTCTGAAATCTCACCCTGTTTTTGAGAAAGGGTGAGAAATTCTCACCCATTTTCTTTCTATGATGAAAACACTGGATATTTATCAAAATGTGTAATATTATGTAATAATTGAATTTTAGGCACAATTTTTAAATTATCCTCTCATACTATTTTATGAATATATTCAAAATGATAATTTTCCCTCATAATCAAAAGAGAAACATTCATAGTTTATAAACGTAATTTAAAGGCAATCTCTGTGCAATTCTTTTTCTTTCTTCTTAAAAAAAATAAACTAACAGTAAAAATGATTAATTGATAAACAACTTGAAAGCTGTTTTCGATAATTTAAACCAAAAGAAAGAAAAGTTTTATGAGGAAATGAACATTCAGATACGACATATAAAGAAAATCAACATTTAAAGATTTAAAAAATATATATATAAATATTTACTGGAAAAAAATAGTTTTAAAATTTAAAATCTAAGAAATGTATTAACAATTCTCCTTCCCCCGAAAAAAATACCAGGGGTCTGTCCAGACATTTTGTGAAAGGTCCAGTTTTTGTAAAAGTGAAAAAATTACTCGTAATTAGTGAATATAAAATAAGCGTCAAGTCACATTCTTTCAACCAGGGTCCTGTTTTGTGAATTTGTGCATATAGGGTCCTGTTATTGCAAATGGATACAAGATTATGCTCAACACTGTAAAATTATAATTAAAAAAAAAATCAAATTTTCAAAACTAAACAGCTATTGCTGCTACTAAATTAGAGATGCAACATACAAATATTTAGTATTTAGCCTATACTACACAACACAGAATATTCATTTCGGACGAATAATGGAAACAATACCACTCACATTTTTAATAATTTCTATTGACATATTTTAAATAACACAACTTAATCATGTATCACTTCTAATGTGTTACACATTCAGTAAACTTAAACAATTCTTAAATTTATAATAGTTTTTTTTTAAAAAAATTGATATAAGTTAATTTTTATTTACACCATATTTTATCAATTAATTTTATAAATAATATATTGCTCAATTATTTATTTACAAAAAAATATAATTTAATATCAATCAGAATGTAGACACGATGTTTGTAGAAGTAGAAATATTTTCTTAAAATACTACATTTGGAATTTATAAATAATTTTTGACTCCTAAGAGGTTAAGGTACATAATATAAATGAAATGAGATCAAACTAAGCCTCAGGAATTAAGCAGAAAAACATGATTAACAAAATATTAGAGCAATATACGTCGATTGCCAGTAGATTTGAAAACATCTATAAGAGTTGAACACTTAGCATGAGTCAATTTTCCCCGCCCTTTTACAATAATACGCAAATGTCTTTCGAGTGTCTCTTGTGAAGAGTCCAATTAAAAGATAAATTATTTTGTGAAGGGTCCACTTTTAAGTTAAAATATTCTGTGAAGGGTCCATTAACGAACCCAAATTTCTTCTAAACAGATCCCTGAATACTCATAAAAATTAAACCAGTTGAGAATAATCCCAACAAAGTTTCCCCCCCCCAATGCCCACCTGTGTTAACCTCCGTCAATATAGGCATTTACAGGGCGATTTTGTTGGCCTCTCTTTCAGGGGCACCATATTAGGTAGGCTAACGTCGCTCCCACAGTGAGGACAGGTAGTACAGCGAAGGAAAAAACATCCATGTCTTGCCAGGGATTCGAACCCAGAACCTTTCTGGTGCAAGGACAGTTTTCTGCCCCCTACACAAGCCGGTCGACTTCCTAACAATGTAAAACAGACAAAAACAGATAGAAAACAGAATTAAACCTATAATCACAGACAATTTTAGCAATGTGTAATTATTACTTAAAAACAAAGAATAAATTATTTCAAAGTAGAATCTAAATAAAACAGCAGTGTTTTTAAGGGATTGCAGCTTACTTTTACAAAGAGGATGCATTTATTGGGATCAAAGGGCCCTTCAGAAAACGCTTAATGAGACCATTGCCAACAGTGATTTTGGCCCTTTAATGTTAGATTAATTTTTTGCGAATTTCGCCATATCACCATGATTTTTAAATTTAATCAAACACACTTATTACCCAGTATTTAATATGCTAGAAATATTTTGCATGGCGTTAATCTTATGTGAACTATAATGCTAATCACCTTAGCAAAACGGTGATTCATCTGGAAAATTTTGCTGATGCACTCTGATACTCACGTAGTGTCGGCATTCCGCACATGGCTCGCACCGAGCACAGTGATGACGTAAAATAGCCTCAGTGGCAGACGTATCACGGGTTAGAGACCCCTAGCCATCAAGCTAACCACGGGAGGTTTTCATAGTTTTCCTTTTCATGGAACTCAAATGTGTGTTAGTTCCATCAAAAAGTTCTCAATAAAGGCAAATTTCTTCCAGAATTCCCTTGTCTTCTGAATCGTGTTCAAAATGACAAAGCTACGGATTTGAACATCAGTAGCCGTATAACAATGACGGTTATAAAACAAAATAGCGTTCGTAATGCAATAGAGTTAAAAGGAATCAGTCACGCTTTGCGAAATCTCGTTACTGATGTTTATTTTTAAGTGCATCTAAAGATTTTCTTCCCAGTTTGCCATAAGTGTTAATTTTGCAGTAATCTTAAGTTAAAATAAATAGGGACTCCCTCAAATTTGGAGAAAGCTTTAAATTAAACCACTAGTTGTACATCAAAAGACATGTTTCGTAATAGGTTTTTTTTTTATTTTTCAAATTGCAAGAACAGACATTTTCAGGATTTCCCCACAATCTTTTACCCTCTCCGTTACAATGGCTGTTTTGATGATCTTTTCCTTCACCTTTTAATTAGGTTATCAGGGAAACATGATTATTTATGCTAAAATTTGTCCACCTTAATTATTGAAGTATACTTGCTTTTCGTTAAATCATGGTAACCCCCGTGTCAAAATTTTTTTGGGCTTTCTGCAACATACCTTTCTAACACTAATATCTCTCTGCAAGATATTTTAAAAGTAACAAATATACATGTTACTAAGTTAAAGTAACAAAAGCATCAACTTAAAAAAAAAAAAAAAAAGAAACTTTTTGGATTAAACCATTTTTTAATTAAATGTGCAATATATTTTTAATTCTAATATCATGGGCTATATTCTCGCATTTTGCAGGGGGAAAACACACTAATTATATCCTTTTTCGCATTTTGTAAATCATCATCTGAATAAAAAAAAATTTTTAATTCACGACGGACTCTTCAAAAAAGGGTTACTAAATGCGCGTTTTCATTGCGAGATTCAGTTATTTTATTTTATAACCATCGTTGAACAGCCAACCCAATCTTATGGGTTTATGACTACTAATTTTCAACTTCGTAGCCTTGTCATTTTGAACCCAATTCAGAAGACAAGGGAACTCCTGAATCGAGTATTGGGAGAAATTTGCCTTCGTGGAGGACTTTTTGATGGAGCTAACTCGCATTTGCCCCATGGAGAGGAAAACCGCAAAACCCTCCTACGGTTAGCCTGTTGGCAAGGGGACTCTAACCCATGATCAGTCTACCACTGAGGATATTTCATGTCAGTACTGCAGTCGGCGCAAGCCGGATGCCCTCTATCCCCTGAGCCAACGCGGCTCAAGAATCAGTTATTGTCATAAATAATATAGTACAATAGTATTAACAATACAGTACAATAGTAATATAGTACAATATTACAAATACAATAGTATTAAAGATTTCGGATTTTAAAACTATGTAGAAATCACTTGTAATAACTGCATTAAAAAAATTAGAACGCGAAATTTTTTGCAGAAAAGAAAACCTAATTTTTAACTTCACTAATTTTTATTTTTCATTGTTCTCAACTGAGAATAGAAAAAGCATTTTTTTCTCCACTCAGATGGACGAGAAAAGCATCTTTTGAATATAATTCTGAAGAATAGATAAAATCTTTCCAAAATTTCTGCAGAAAGGAAAACCAAAGTTTTTCCCTTCCTAAAAAATAATCTTTCTGCAAGGTACGCTAAAATTTGGCAATTTTAATCATAGAAGTATACTTGCGAAGAAGATTTCATTAAACTAGGTACAAGCCTTGAGATGTCTATGTATTATATTAACAAAGAGTTTAATATATGATTTGAAGTGTTAAAATTGCTTACATGGATCATTTTTGACCGGTCCATAATTCTGTGCACTGACCGACTTCTTTTCCGTGGGGGTGTTGCAACAGGCGAAGAGTGGTCCACATGATTGACCCAGTGAACCCCCAGACAACCAGCAGTAGAGAAAGAATTGGCACTTGCCCCCACTCGAACACTGAGTGTAAGTATTCTGTCTGGAAGGGCTTTGGTAGAAAGGTTTGAAGGAATTGAAACCTCGACCCTCATGCTTAGGTCTACGGAAGAACACCTCAGACTCTGGTGAATGGTGGACGTAGATAGCACCTGGAAATAAAATATGCATCATAAATCATTTGGTTGTACTTGCCGACATTTCTAATGTTTAAGCTTTGTTTATAGTATAATATCAAGGGTCTGTCTGGTTTTCTTTGAGAGGTGCCCATTTTGTGAAAATTAAAAATTATGTTAAAAAATCAACACAAAAATAAAGAAAATATTCTTAAAAATTGTCACTTCAAATAAAAATCATTTATGACAGGTAAATTTCTGTATATTTTTCCCCATATTAAAAAGATAATGCATTTAAGTACATGCATTTAACAGAACTGGCACTAAAAGTTCTTTCCATTAAGAGAACATTTTCGACTAGGTCATACAGAAAAGTTTCACAGTGAAAAAAAAAAAATTTCATAAAAAGTAAAGGTCTGTTAGAATAAATTTACAATAATGTTTGAGATTGTGTTCGAATTTTGACTTCATGCAAAGTTTACGGATGGAAACCCTCATCGTTTCATTTTAGAAATCTCAGCTAAAAAAAAAAACTCGCTTTGATATGGCGTGAGTGACAGATTAGGTTTACCATATTGCTCTATCTGACCAAACATGTGCTACCTTTTTGTAAAAAAGCTCCTTTTTCCATAGATTGAAACGAGAACAGGGTTTGCACAAGAACTTGCTTTATTAAAAGTGTTTCGCGAAACTACCGTTTTTCCTAAAGTTGAATTTGTGAAGTTACTGCGAAAGGGTAGTAAATATACCCTGGACAGACATCCTGAACATATAATGTTCCACCACTTTATAATAGTTCATATTATACTTCTTTTTAAATGGAATAGGCATTTACGAGATTTTCTACCTCTTCATATTTTCCCCTCTTTTCATCGTATTCAGAAACTTTTTCTCCCACACCAGTTTGTTTCAGTAGAAGATAGAAACCCATTTTGGTAACTTCTTATGTAATTTACAATAGTTTGAAAGTGTTACAGAGCATGCATATTATGATTACAATATATGACTGTCTATTTCAATATTATTAAAATAGTTTGTATATTTTGTTCTACACATCACTCACAACACCTCCAGTTTAATGTCACAAGTATATGATTAGTGTAAATAAAACACTTTAAATAGTTGAATAACATTCAGGTTAGAAAGAACACCATTCTCCAAAGAAGTTTAATAGCATTTCTTTTAGGGTCAATAATTGTACATTTAGAAATCATTATTGAATGCAATTACTGTCCACTAATTTTTATTGAAAAAATGCAAGCAATGATTTGCACTTAGTTATTTAAAGAAATGAAATAATTTTTCCATCAGGGTTGTCACTCAAGAAAAAAAAAATTCCCGACTTTTTCAGATACATCTATTTAAGAAATGTCAGACTAATAGTGAAGTACGTACTGATAATGCCGAGGACAAAATATAGCAATGAACCACACAAAAATTATCATTTGTAATTTATACATTATATTGTACATTTTATTTTATGAAACTCCACAGTACAGAGAAACAATGGCATTGAAGACAATAGAAATATATCACATAAAAATGAAAAAAATGCTTTAATATTTTGTATTATCTAACACAGAAAACTATAATTTTTGATTTAGTTCTGCAATTTGAACAACTTTTGAAGAAATATCCCATATTAATTTTTGCTTAGTTTTGTACACCTGTTTAACTTTATAAATTGCCACCTGCATGAAGCAAACAAAGCAAAAACGGACAAGAATAAAATTTTTAGAATAAAAAAGGTTGTGTCCCAAGTCTTTATGTAAATTAAAAACAAATTTTTTTTTATAAATAATTAAAAATACTGAAGATATAAAATTAAAAAATAATCTCACTTTCTTAATGAAGCCTCAATTCATTATTAATGAAGATTAACTTACATTACTATTTGTATGTAATACAAAACAAAAACCTCATTTATCTAAGCTTCTCCCAGATTTGATAATAATAAATTATTAATAGCTCTGCTATACACAGATGCTCTGCATTTAAATATTGGTTCAAAAATTAAAAAAAAAATAAAAATACTAAATCATTTCACATAATCTAATTTAATACACTAAATAAAATACTATTTATGAAAACAAAATACATAAAGACAACTGCAAGGGATTGATTGTCATCTTGGCAATGAATAATATTTTTTCCTTCTTATTTGTATTTTTATTAAGATATTAAAGGAAATTCGTTTAAAAAAGAGCAAATAAAAAGAAAGATATATCACTATACTCAATACTGTAATTATAGTGATATATCTTGCTGGAAATATCTTTCACTGGAGTATATCTGTCCATCTGATCCTTTATTATGAAGAAAAAATCAGAATATTACAGAAAGAAAAACACTCAAAATTTGCGCTTACACAAAACAGAATTACTCTAAAAGTTTGTATTAACATATAAAATTAATATTATTTAAATAATAACAATCATAAATATTAAATTAATGTTACAATTAATGGGAATTAAACCTAATCAAACGTGATAAGATCAGTGATACAAAAAGTAGCTTAATCATCTTCAAATCTCACCAAGGGGGAATATTTTAAAGAATAAATTAAACAAAAAACTATAAATAATTTTCTTTCCAGTTCCAGTGGGGAAAAATCATTTGCCAAAACCAAATTTTATTCTCCAAATTTACGATTTTATCGCATTTGGAGAGAATGCTAAACTACTTTTTGAAAACTCTGAAACGTTCTGTGACAATGTAATATAGATAGACAAAATACCTATATAAACTTTTTTTATTTATTTTATGCACTCATTTAATTTTAGACTCTCTAGCTGGAAGCTTTCTTCAAAATTTTAAAAAATACAAAATGCACGCTACTCTTGCTGTCAACTTTTACACTTGTCATTATTCCGAATACTTCTTGTTTTTTAGAAAACTCGTTCGCGTACCAGGCTTATAACTATATAGTTAATAATATATAGCAGTTTTAACAAAACCAGATTTTGAAATTCGTGAATAAATCAATAAACTTATTTCACTTTAATTCCTTTAGTGAAATTCTTATATTGTTGCCATACAAAATAAAATAATAAACTCCTTTAATACTTTTAGTACTTATTGTTGCCATGCAAAATAAAATAATAAACTAAATTCTGAACCTATTTTCAAAAAGAAACAGGATCAATCATCTAGTTTCGGTTTGGCTGTCCATATTACTGAGCTTTGACAGTTAGTTAACTACTTTTAATTTTTTTTTTTAAATGCTTCAAATTTAGATTGAATAAAAATTTTAACGTCATTCTTTGCATAACGAAATGATCTTTAGGAATCAACAAAATTCCTTTTTCAGTTGATTTACATGGACCAACGCTATAATAAGTTAAAGAAAAAACAGAAAAATGCTCTTTATATGAGCTAAATTATATTGATGTTTCATATTATTTAATGCTACTTCAAACAAAGTGACCAGGGCCCCTGCTCATCTACCGGAAAGGAAGGTCGCAATGTGTGTATATATATAACTATGAAAAAAGGGGAAAAGAAATTTCTGTAAATTTTCACTTGTTTTCTCCACATTTTGAACTTATTTTATGAGTTCTATTTACTTGCAGCTTATGCGCAATAAATAAAACTTATTGTTTTTCTAAATTTTCTTAATATTTTTTTCGTTTTTATTTATTATGCTATATATATGTATATATATATATTATAACTATGCCTTCATATTTATTTATTTGAGCTGAAAAATGCAAAACGGTCAATTGGGTCTATTTCAGATAGCCGTACAAGGTTGATTTATTTAATGTCAGCAACNTATATATATATCAATGCGTGCGTGTTTCATTTACAAGGACATCAAGCAGTGGCAGATGGTGAGAACGAGTACCACTAGGGGAATAAGCCTGTATTTTATTTTATTTTAAAACTGTCATTGAACAGCTGATCCATCTGGGAATTAACGACTAACAATATTCAACTCCGCAGCTTTAAAATTTTGAACCAAATCCAGAAGACAAGAGAACTCCTGGATCAGTACCCCTCGAAATATTGACTTGTTATGGAAACTTGGAGGACTTTGTAACCCCGACAGATTTAACGAGCACCAGTGATCATTTAATAGACGGGAATTCTTCAGTCGACTGGATTCGAACTCCCGTTCTCACGAGCAAGAGTTCTACGTCCTACCGGCTCATCCCGGCCCATAAAAGACTATTTTTTATAACCGTTGTTGAACAGCCGAACAGAATTAAAATTTACGACTACTTATGTTCAACTTCGCTGCCTTGTCATTTTGAACCCAATCCAGAAGACAAAACTCCCTAATCAAGTAGTGGGGGAAATTTGCTTTCGTGAAGGCCTCTTTGATGAAACTACCCCGAAATTGCGTTACATGGTGATAAAAACCACGATAACCTTCCACGGTTAGCCTGACGGCTAGGGGACTCTAACCCATGATCCGTCTATCACTGAGGATATTTTACGTCAGCACTGTGGTTGGTGCAAACCGTGCGCGTAATGCCAACACTAGCGATTCGTATCGATCAGCCATCACTGGGATTTGAATCCGTGTCACCTCATTGGATGTCGAAAGTTCTATGCTCTGATAAGGCTCTGGCCTTATATTATGACACGAACCATTGAAAATGAATCATAGAACGTGAAAATCCGATCATTAGATATAAAGTTATTCAGGATGTTCGCTTCGGATGTTTTTCAAAAATGTGTAAACAACTTACGCTTGCACTTTCATGCTTATGACTGCTCACACGCTTGATATTGCTGTTCTTTGTTACCAACGTGAAACATGAGCCATTTTATTCCTCATCATTGTGTAAGATACATTTAATGGGATAGTTCTCACTATTTTCCGAAGCAGACATGAAGATGAACCGACCTATTTAACAAAATATTTCTTTCTTTTTTTATTTTTAAATAAGCATTTTAATCTGTGTTCTAAAGACAGTTTCATCCTTGGTTAAATAGGCATTTATCTTAAGATATTCGTTTTCTTAGGTAGATAATTCATTAGAAACGCTCTAATTAACCGTTAGAGAGAAAGCAACCCTAACTAGTCG